TTTCTGTAGATTAATTAAAGCTAAAATGTGCTTAAATTTGCAAACATTAGCCTGTCCTTACAAGGAAAGAAATATTGTTATATCCACATAATTATAAAAAATATAAAAATAATTTCCAAAAAAAATTTACTTAAATCAAAATATAATTAAAAAATGATTATCATGATGACTTGCGCATACATTTATAAACTTAAGAACTAGGTATTTTATTGTTAATCTCTTCAATAAAAACTGTTTAAATATAAAATTAACTAGTTTATAAGTTTGACTTTGTCTATTCTTAATAAGAATCTCATGATTCTATTCTTTTATTAATTTCTATTTTTAATTTGAATGTTGATTCAAATTTAGAATGGAAAAAGTAAAAATTTTATGAGTTTACACTATTTACGTTATCCTTTCACAGAAAAACCCTGAGAGGTTTTCGTTGTGCGGCAATAACATTGTTAATATAATTAATAAGTAATATGTAGTAAGCACCTTGGAAAAAATAAAAAATAATACCTTTTTTTAATTTTGTAGATCAAGTTAAAAACTGACAAAAGCAATACAATTTATCAAGTCAAGAGCCAGGTAGATTCAACCATAAAAATACCAAAACACTGCAATCTAGCGTTTCTTAGTTTCTGGCTTTTAATGAAACTAAATTAATTTAAAATTAGGCCTCCTAAGGAGAATTAACTAAGATGAACTTACAAGTGTTCGTTATTTTGAATAAAATTTAGGTACCATTTAAAAACATTAAAATTACTCCGTGTTTTTACCCGACTGCCAAAGAAGGAGGGTAATGTTTTTCGAGTGTATGTAAGTATGTATGTATGTCTTTTCCTTTGTGACCTCCTGTAGCCTAAACGGCTTGATGGATTTTGATGTATGAGGTATCGTTAGATTTGTCTTGATTACGGGAGTGTCATAGGATACATTTTATCCTAAAAGTCCCACGGGATAAATAAAAACAGCTAAAAAGTTATAAATAAAAAAAATATTATTATAGTTAGGGAATCATATTTTAATCACTTTTCTCAGTGGTGCGAAAAAGAGGGTTAGACTATTACTGACTAAAACCCTCCCCACTCCTTCTCCTGCTCCAAACCAAGTGCGTAATGACGGTATATGATTGCACTTCTAATTGGCAGAAAAACATAAACCCTGCATTAGAATGTACTTATGTATTTTTTTTGTTTTGTGAAAATCATCAAATGACTTCTCCCGCCCACGGCCGGGCGGGAGGGAGTGTCAGACTCTTACTGACTAAAAACCCCCCTGTTCCTTCTCTTGCTCTGGGCCGAGGTCGCGGTGCCTCATTGCGCTTACCCCGCAACCCCGGCAGAACATCAGCCCTATAGGGCCCCGTCTGTGGTGGTCTATTGGCTGAACGCTACGCGCCGTACGCTCGGGAATGGACGTTTGTATCGTGTGTACGTTAACGAGTCATACTACAGTCTACATGATACCATGAAACATAAGGTTGGTAGTGGTTGGGCAACTGGCTGCTGTGCAACGTGTCGAGGGGCCGTTTCCTACACGGAACAACACTTGGTGTGATCCACAAATTCTTGTTTTGTATGTGGTGGGTTTGTGTATGTTTGTAAACGCGCCCACGACATAAATGAGAAAAAGAAGAAGAACTATACACTTGTATTTAAAAAAGTAAAAGTAGACGGGAATACTATCAGCATACAAGGTCGTGGTGGCTCCGAGGTTAAGGCGCCCGTTTCTCATGCATGAGAGTGTGGGTTAGCAACCTGGCAAGTACCAATGTGACTTTTTCCGAGTTATATCTGCTTTCTATGATTAGGTGGACACCACTGACATACGGTGAAGATAAACATCGTGAGGAAACCTGGACTTATAATTTCTAATTGTAAGTTTTTAGTCGCCAATCCGCATTGAGCAGGCGTGTTGATTAATGCCCAAACGTCCTCCGTGTGAGAAGAGGCCTTTGCTTAGCAGTGGGCACTTATAGGTGATGATAATGATACTATCCGCAAAACCTTTCACCTGCAGACGGATTACCTGATGGTAAGCAATCAGCGCCGCCCATGGACACCCACAACGGAGGAGTTACGAGTGCGTTGCCGACCTTTTAGGGATTAGGGATTTGGAGATTTAGGGATTGACGAGGGATTGGGGGAGGAGAAGGACTGGGCCTCCAGTAACCACACTCATATGGCGAAACACAACGCTGTCTGCTATCAAAAAGTGGAAATTTTCTGAATAGGTACCATTCAACTTATGAATGACTTGAACATTTGAATTTTACAACCGTGTCTTACTATCGTCATATGGGTTTTTATCTTGGTACGCATGTGCTTTTGTTTATCCACATCTTTATTGTCGACGCTGTAAAGAATGTTTGTTTACTAAATTGTAATACAAAAGTGATTTTGAGGTATTTTTAATATTATTTTTGCAATAAAAATTTATGTTTTCTATTTTTTTTGTGTTATATAAAATTTATGTTGAAGTAAGTATTTATATTTAATTAATTTTTGGACCATATAAATCTTTGTTTTCCATTTTTTCTTTGTTATATAAAATTTATTTTGAAGAAAGTATTTATATTAAAGTATTTATATTATATTTTTAAGTGTGGGAGAGCCATGCTTCGGCACGAATGGGTCGGCTCGACCGGAGTGATACCACGGCCTCACAGAAAACCGGCGTGAAATAACCACTGCGTTGTGTTTCGCCGTGTGAGTGAGGTTACCGGAGGCCCAATCCTTCCCCTTCCCCAATCCCTCCTCAATCCCTATATCTCCAAATCCCTAATCCCTGAAAGGTCGGCAACGCACTCGTAACTCCACCGTTGCGAGTGTCCATGGGCGGCGCTGATTGCTTACCATCAGGTAATCCGTCTGCTCGTTTGCCGACCTATTACAGAAAAAAAAAAAATATTTAAATATTTTTTTAACGATAAAAATCTCTTTTTTCTATATTTTCTTTGTTATATAATATTTATTTTGAAGTAAGTTTTTATATTTAAATAATTTTTGGACCATAAAAGTCTTTGTTTTCTATTTTGTCGTTGTTTCCCCTCCCCAATCCCTATATCTCCCAAACCTCTGTCCCCAAAAGGTCAACAACGCACTCATAACTCATCCGTTGTTACCGGAGTTCATACCCATGAACTCCGGTAACAACGGTGCCACCAATCAGTGCCACCCGGCACTGATTGCTTACCATCAGGTAATACGTATGCTCATTGGCTGTCCTATCACATAAAAAATAGTTGACAAATAGCCAATTGAACAAAGAATCCGTAATGCGTATTTAACCGGACCGGACCAGCGATCCTTGTCCTAACGTGTCTGGGATATAGAACAGAATCGTGGCATAACTAACAGAATTAACTCACGAAGATATTTATCTGCGGATCAGCAATTCTAAATTATTTAATCAGATCGAAGGAATATTTTATCAAAGTGTACCGATACTATGTGGAGCAAAATCCGTGTCCAGCTAGCTAGAGATCAGAGTGGAAACAACGACTGTCGCAACCGAGGGCCGGGCACGCTACCATAGCAGCGTAAGACCCCTCTTTGAGGAGTGGCTTGAGAGACGCCACGGCGTCCTCACCTTCCGTCTGACGCAGGTGCTTACCGGGCACGGCAGCTTCGGTAGGTTCCTGTTTCGGATTCAGCGGGAGGAAACGCCCGAGTGTCGTCATTGTGAGGACCACCTAGAGGATACGGTGGAGCATACGGTAGCGGTATGCCCTGCCTGGGCTGAGCACCGCCGTATCCTCAGGGAAGTGATCGGCGGCGGCGACCTCTCGCGCCCGGCCTTAGTCGAGGCCATGGTGCGGAGTGAGAGGAACTGGGACGCCGTCTCCTCCTTTTGTGAAGCAGTCATGCTCGCAAAGAGAGAGGCGGCCCGCGTGAGGGAGCAATCCTCCTCCTCACGCCCCAGCAGCCGCAATTGGCGACACTACGGGCGTCGGGGATCTAGGGACGATCTCCGGCCACCGTAAGCACGGGCCTACGGTCGGCGAGTAAGGGCAGCTCGCCGCCCGACCAGAACCAGGCCCGAGCGTACGGCGCGTAGCGTTCCGCGCGCGCCTCAAAGAGCCAATAGACCACCACAGACGGGGCCCTAAAGGGCTGATGTTCAGCCGGGGTTGCGGGGTAAGCGCAATGAGGCACCGCGACCTCGGCACAGAGCAGGAGAAGGAACAGGGGGGTTTTTAGTCAGTAAGAGTCTGACACTCCCTCCTGCCCGGCCCTGGGCGGGAGAAGTCATTTGATGATTTTCCCCTCACAAAAAAAAAAAGCTAGCTAGAGATACAAATTGGGCCCAAGAGAGCCTATGTTCAGATGGTGTTGTGGGTCGAGTACAGGTGGCGAGGCTGGAGCAGGAGAAGAAACGGTGATTTTTAGTCAATAAGTGTCTGATACTCCCCTCGCTTCACCCTGGGTGAGAGAGAATGTATTTGAAGATTTTCCCCCTTCAAAAAAGTTTATTTAGGAATGTAATGGTGACTTTTTTGGATCATGAGCTTCTTCTAAAAGTTGGTTTGTTATCATCATTATATGTATCTGACAAAAGATGTCTACTGCTGAACATTTCTCAACGATTTCGAGATTAGTTGTTTAGAAAGAAAATCATTTAATTTTTCGAGATGAATGGCTCCTGCAGCCATATATTAAAAGTCAACTCTTAATGACAAAAGCCGGTCATTCCAAATCCTGGTCCGAGTTGTGCCAAAGTAAATTATGGCTGGCATCCCGAGGTTTCAAGCGACTTTTATCTGATATAACCTGACAAAAAATTATGTTTAAGTATTTATAAACAGCTTTTTATGATATTAGGTAGACGTTGCAAAGCAATTTGAATTTATTGCTTGAATTAACATTAAATTTCAGAGTAAAACAAAACAGAAGAACATATATATTTTAAATTAAGCAGCAATCAGCAAAAACAGTATAATGTTGATTAAAGAAAATCATAATTCTCAAAAAATAACGACACTAAATTTCATCATATTTTACGAAGTTAATCTACTAGCACGTCATAATTCATAAGAGCTAATAACAAATCTAGTCGCAAATCAGAAAGATGCGTAATCATATAAAGACTTAATCCACTCTTATTGTATTTATGTTTGCCTAGTACATTATATCATAATTGCCCCTGATAACAGATGATATATTCAAAAAGTATTTTATTTACTAGCCAGTTCGAATCCCAGATCTGAGTTGAAAAGGTCTGGGTCTGAAAAAAGATCTGATTTATTCGTTTTTTTTTTTAACGTGTGTTTGGTTTATATTAAAAAAATCAAAATGGGTTTGTTGTATCAATTCCTTGGAACGCTGATCAGTAAGTATATTTTTTTTATATTTTTTTAAACTTATATTTTGTTTTAAAATAGGTTTTCAAAAGAAAGCCAACCTACCAGTAAATTTTTAACAAGTTGATATGTAAAATAAAACACCTATGGATCTCTTTATTCGTTTTTGCCAAGAGTATTATCAAAAATAATAACAAAATAGTCATATAGCCGTATAGGTAGGAAAAATGAATATCTGTTAAACTGATTGACCCTTCTACCGTCAATAACAAACAGAACAAAAAACTATCAAAGTAGGTTCAGCGGTTCTCGAGATTTGCGACGAGGAACACAATTTTTTTTTTAATTTTGGATAATTTTTGTGTGTGTGTTCATGTAGATCTGCAGCATAAAAGTATATCTATACGAGTGTGAGAGAGCTATGCTTTGGCACGAATAGGGCGGCTCGACCTTAGTGTTACCACGGCACTCATAGAACGCCGTAAAACAATGCTTGTAAAATTGTTGTTGTATCCCCGTTTCCATATCCCTAATCCTTAAATCTCTAGTTCCTAAAAGGATAGCAACTTCTCTGGTGTTGCAGTTGTCCATGGACAACGCTGTTTCTAACTATGAGGTGATTTATCTGATCATTTGCTGTCCAATCCTATAAAAACCTGGAGAACCCCACACTTAATGTCTTACAATTGCGATTGGGACCATTCCAACCAACACCACTTTTGACCACTTCGCAAAGCACTTGTTTGGCGAAACACAACACAAACCCAATCCATAAATCCCTAATACTCAAATTCTTTACAATCCACCAAAGATCGGCTATGTACATCAATGTAATAATAGCAAAAAAAAAAGATTATTCCTAATATAAAAGAGTGTTAGTGAATTGAATTGAAAAACTGAACTGAAGTGACTATAATGAAATATTTATTTCTATTTAATTATTTTCATTTGGTATTTTGTATTCACACTTACAAATTCTTCGAGCTTGACAGAGATGACGGTATAAATACGTACATACATTTATAACTATAATATTTACATAATATTAATGAAACGTACACGACATACACGAGTACATACAAATATAGTAAAAGGCTGTAAATGTTTAATATAACGCACGTGTTTTATAGTAAGCGACTGATAAAGTAGCAAATTGTAATTATTGTTCTTAATGAAATTAGGTACCTATATGAAAAAAGGGATTATTTCAATGGTTTAAATTTTTATATGGTATGGTAATAAAATATTGAAAAATAACTATACTTTTATTCATCGATCGATGGATACACCATGTTTTAGATTTTTTTTAGCTAATTTTTGCGAAATAAGTATGCTTATTGACGCAAAAATGTTATGACGTCATAGCTCAGTTTTTCATACAAATTTCATAGAAAAGTATCGTTTTTGACGTTTGGATAAAAGTATTGAATTTGACTAGTTGGAAACTACCGTATTGGGGATATGGGAAGAGGAAGACTGGGCTTCTGATAACCTTACACATACAACGAAAGATCTGTTTTACGTTGGCGTCACAGAACGCCATGGTAACAGTCCAGTCCATCTGGCTCAGTCGTGTCTACAACACTTGGATCTCCCACACAAGTCTTACGTAATAGGCTGAAATTTTCATCTCGCTATGGGTTTTCCTCACCATATACATATAAGGGAAACCCCATAAAAACAATATAAACATAGCAAATCTTTATACTTAGATAAAAAAATGTTATTACAATAGATAAGGAGTAAGTAAGATGCGATGAGATAGTGACAATGCAGATGAAATAAAATTTATTGTATTCATTTAAGTAATTGTAAACGTAATAAGTAGTGTAAACTTTATAATCTTGTTTTTAAACTCTAACGTTATTGTTTGAACACTTAGCTAGAAGTTAATTTTCATTGCTAGTTTAACCACTGTCTTTCCACTTATTGCTAGCGTGGTCAAAGGAAAAAAGTAACTAAGTTGTGGGAGTAGGGTTACCGGTGGCCCAATAGAAAGAAAGAAAGACAAAATATTTATTCGCGTCTGGGACGCATAAAAGACACAAAACGAACAAGATAATAAAATAAATTTAAAAATAAAAATTAACATTAAGCATGTTAAAAACAATATCACAAAAGAGCGTAGGAGAAAAATATGCGTCCAAGCACGCGAAATGGCCCACGCTCAGCTTAATGCAGCGACCCCTCACCCAATCCCAAGATATCCATAACTCTAACCCAAAAGGCAACACACTTGTGGCTCCTCTAGTTTTATAGATATTCATATGCGCCCCAGTTCCACTACGTAAACCGTTTTTTTTTGTGAGGGGAAAATCATCAAATGACTTCTCCTGCCCAGGATCGGGCGGAAGGGAGTGTCAGACTCTTACTGACTAAAAACCCCCCTGTTCCTTCTCCTGCTCTGGGCCGAAGTCGCGGTGCCTCATTGCGCTTACCCCGCAACCCCGGCTTTACCCCGCAACACCGGTACTACGTAATCCGTGCGTTAATTATACTATCCTATGATATAAAAATCTCGTTTTGCAAAGTCCTAGCTGCCTTCAAACAAAAATAAAATGATAAAGTCGTCCTATTAGGGAAAATTAACAAATGAACAAACGTGCTTGGTATATATTTTTTCTTTGACCTTATAATATGTTGCTTCTGGACTGGGTGTCATGTGTATACACGACATTTTAAGGTCTACTGTTTCATACCCTGGGAGATGAAAAGTTAATAAAAATAAGTAATAACATGAAACAAATTTGTCCACAGTCAGCACAATGGGCATAAATATGGGCGTTATCTTCGCCTGGCCAGCTTTCACCATCACTCTCTTCCAAACACCAAACACAACGCTAGACAGACCAATGACAGACACAGAGATATCCCTGTTTGGCAGTCTGTCCTCCATTGGAGCTCTTATTTCTACGCCTTTTGCTGGATATATGCTGGAGACGTTGGGCAGAAGAAACTGTTCTGTTATGAATTCTTTGGGATTAGTCGTAAGTTCTTTTTCATCATCTATCTTACTTTTTATCCTCTATTTGTATTTTTTACGATGATTAAGAGAATGCTGTTCCAAAAGATAAACAATAGTACCAATCCTTGACAGCAACTTGAAGGCCATTTACACAAAAAAATTGCAATGTTTTATTGTCTACAGTATACGAGGCTTCAGGCAAAAATTTAAATATAAAGAGGCGATTAGCTTTTTACAAATAGAAATTATACACAAGCTTATAACTAAGTGTAAGCTATTGTTTTTAACAATCGTATCATCTTTGAAACCTGTTACTAGTCTAAAACAAGCCAATACAAAATTCGACAGTAATAATTATCAGAACTCCACTAACAATTTTAAAATTCATCACTTCTCTATTTCAGCTACTTACATCATAATAGAACAGCTAAACAAAAACTATTTTTTTCTATTTCCAGCTGGTCTGGGTGCTGCTAGTCTGCACAAGGAACGTAGTAACAGTCTTAGTATCAGTATTCCTCTCAGGGATCGCCAGTTCAGTCTTCCTCGTAGGTTCAGTCTACATCAGTGAGATCTGCCAAGAATCCATCCGAGGAGGCATGACGGCATGCAACATGGTCTCCTATGGTATAGGAATGCTGCTTTCCTATCTGCTAGGAGGCTTCCTCTCTTATGACGTCATGTTGTATGTTGGAATGTCCATGTCCATTGCTGGAACTTGCTGCTTATTTATGTTGAAGGAAACTCCTATTCATCTGTTGAATAAAGGGAAAGAAAAGGTGAGGTTTTGTGGTATTACATTTCTATTTAAAATGTGGTACATTCACTAGCTATTAATTTTAAGAACTAAATTTACACCTGTGACGAACAACAATAAACTAATCTTGAATCTATGACAATCATGAGAAAATTGAAGTAAAAATAGAGGAACAAAACATTTGGGATTATTGTTACCAAAAAATTTTGAGCCGGGTTTAGCCGATTGGTCGGATGTAAGCTATAACGTAAACAGCCGGGGTTGCGGCTGCATGCCTAATAATGTATCGCTGCCAAAGAGAAGAAACAGGGTGGAGGGAAGCCACTGGATTATTTGCCCTTACAAAAAAAGGTCAATAAGGGAGTTGCTATGCATCAAGAGCTTTGATTAATCTATGAAGATAAGACTAAAATAAAGTATTCCAACATCATTTAGCAAAGTTGTAACGAATGTAAATAAATACCAAAGAGAACATGCTATCGAGGATTGCTAAACCAATTCCTTTTGTTTTCAGGAAGCAGCACAATCTCTAGCGTTCTACAGAATGTGGAAGTTGAACTCCAAAGAGCTTCAAGATGAAATAAATAACATGAAACGAGCCCTCAACCCAGATCTTGGAGGTAAATATTTTGTTTATGAATATCAAAATCTGCAGATTATGCAATTGCATTATAATTTGAATACCTTGGTAGGCTTGACGTAAATATAATGTTGTTAAGATGAAACGCGAAAGTTTAAAAGTTAGTATGCAATTGAATGTTCTCAGCCATAATGCACAGTGTACGAAAATAATCTAAACATTCTCAAAATATCTTATAAGTAACGAAATAATCCGGCACAGAACTAAAGTTGTCGACATGGCCAAAAAGATTAGCAAACAGAAGTGGCAGTGGGCAGGTCACATGTGGTGTCGACGTTCCAAATGAATATTAGGCTCAACGTGTTCTAGAGTGGAGACTGCATATAGGACGCCTTCTAGCTGGGTATGCAAATAACCATATGGCGTCTTGCAGTAGTTGGATGAGAAGAGTTGAATAATGAGTGAAGAGTCATATGTCTAGCAGTAAAAAGAAATGGGTTGATGATAAAAATCAATGAATGGAAGTGTGATTATTCATTTGGTTTTAATCATCAAAATGTGTTTATTATTCCTGTTTCAGATGAGACACCCGAAGCAGAAAAACTACAGGGTGATATTAAACCCGCTCCTGCTGAAAAGTTATCACTATGGAAGTTCATAAGTAAGTGTTTTAAAGACTTAAATATTTTCTACTTATATATCATCATCATCATCATCATCATCAGCCTATAAGTGCCCACTGCTGAGCAAAGGCCTCTTCTCACACGGAGAAGGTTAGAGCATTAATCACCACGCTTGCTCAATGCAGGTTGGCGATTACAAACTTATAACTAGATACTACTAGTCCAGGTTTCCTCACGATGTTTACCTTCACCGTTTGTCAAGAAAGTACATATAACTCGGAAAAAGTCACATTGGTACTTGCCAGGTTTCGAACCCTCACTCTCATGCATGAGAAGCGGGCGCATTAACCTCTGGGCCACCACCACGTTAAAATGAATTGGTGTTCGTTACTCCCACCTAAACTTAAAAACGGCTGGACCGATTTGGCTAATTTTGGGTCTTGAAATGTGAGTGGAAATTTAGGTATTATATTTTAAATGTTAGAATATACCTATATTCGTTATTTGTGAGACAGTATGAGTTCTCTAGACCAGCTTAAGCTAAATAAACCTGATATATCTCTGTTATTTGTGACAAATATCCAAATGTCATTGCGTTTACGAGGCACGGTCTTAATACTAGTACAACCGAGTCTTATTTTCTACTTATTTTCCATTGTGTGTAGAACTTTATAGGATACAGAACTTTTAATTGTTGAATATTATAAATATACTTGATATCTGATAAATATACGATAGAACAGTACGAAAACAGGATGAATTACTCTTATAATAATGTGGAGTTAAGGATAATTATAGCTAGTTATGATTTCTAATTACATGGGATTCTTCTGTTGGTAAGTCTTGTTTACACCGGGCTTGTTAAGAAAACCGTGAAAAATTCCAATAACCTTTTGTCTAGACTTGAGATCGACCCTGAAACCCTATGCCACTAGATCAACGAGTCAGTAAAAATGCCAATATTGTTTTTTAAGACAAATTTATATATTATCTCCTTTCTTCCACAGAAAAATCAAAATCCACGCAACGGTCTTTCCTGGTGAATATGGTGGTGATGACTGCGGCCATTTTCCAAGGTCTGGTTGTAGTCCAGATTTACGCGGAGCCCATATTCAGTGAAGCGGTACCGAATGCCTCCGCAACTCTTTGCAGTGTAATGCTAGCAGTGACCAATGTTTTGGCGGGAATGGTTGCTGCCTACGCTACCGATTCACTTGGAAGACGGGTGAGCTTCTTTTATTTATTTTTTTACTTGCTGTAAGCTAGTGCTAGACTGCGATCCGACCTGATGGTAAGCACTGATGCAATCGTTGATGGTAAGGCGCACTAGTTTATTAAGAGCCTATACACTCTAGCCTTGAAGACATCTAAATTATATTTGGACGGAAAGACTGCAGCCGGCAAACTGTTCCAATCCCTCGATGTACGCGGAATAAATGACGAGGCAAAACGCTTAGTCCGGGCCGCAGGTGTCTTAACAACGTAAGGGTGGATATTTGCCGGGATGTCCGAAGGTGAAATTGCGATGGCGGAATCAAATCGTGCAATTCCTGCGCACACTCTCCAAAATGCATCCTGTAGAACACCGCAAAGCTGGCTACTCTGCGCCTGTGCTCGAGACTTTATTTTATGTTGACCTTTTACTTGCTTACGCATCAAATAAAAAATCATTAAGTTTGCAGACCGGACTTTTTTTACCGGTTTACCTGATGGTAAGAAATTGGAATCGCCCACGGACACTTGTAATTTCAAAGAAATTACTAAAATGCGGTGCTGGCCTCTGGTAGGTTATTAGAGATTTACGGTAAGGACATTTGGATTGGGGATGAGAGGGGATTGGGTCGGATTTTACTCATATTGCCACAGAACAATCACTAAGAATCCTGCCAGATTCTATCCTATTACTGAGAATATTTAAATATCCAAAATAATACTGAGACTAACCATACGAAACGAAAAAACGAAATCTAAATCCTTTATTTACAAGTTTCGTATCATCAGTGATCAGACCATTAGAAGCCTGAATTAATTACTAAAACACCCGCATTTATTTTTCAGCCTCTCATGATCTACGCCTCCCTAGGCAGTGGAATAAGCTGTGTGGTCCTAGGAACTCTTATGCAGTTCCACTGGGGACCAAACTGGTTGACAGCTGCCTTCATATATACTTTTGCTGTGATGTACACTTGCGGAGCTGGTACTGTACCATTTGTGCTGTTGGCTGAAACATTTTTGCCTGAGGTACGTTTCTACTTTACTTACATAAATACTTTACTTACATAATCTACTTTACTTACATAATCTTGTAATCATTCATAAAGAAAGTAGAAACTCTCTAGTCGACCCCGGACATGGACGCTATCTGATACTGCCATGAGTTGTATTCAATAAATTGAAAATAACGACCGATTGAAGGATACGGAAATTCGAAAACGAACCAATTCATAGCTTTAAATGACTAATTTGACTAAGCCAGGAATTGGTTGGTACTGCGGGCAAAGCCGCTGAAAGAAACTAGTTTCTTAAATATTTGATGCAGTATGTGTTATACACAGGTTTATCGCTTAATATTATTTTGAAGTCTCTACGGTCGGTGCGGTGGCCGAGCAACGTATCGCGAGTTCGATTCCCGCGCGGAACAAATCTTTGTGTGATTTTTGTTCCGAGTCTGGGTGGGTGCTATGTGTATGTAAAATTGTATGATAGTAAACGCATCCAAGACACAGGAAAAAATCTATATATGGGGCAAATATTAAAAAGTCTGCATCATCGTTAATACCTTTCGCATCTACAGCAAAACACAATTCTTCTTTCAGGTCAAAAGTTTCTTCTCGATGGTGTTAGTCGAATACGTCTGGCTTTGCAACTTCGTGATTCTCTTCATCTTCAACCCTCTCCTCAAGGCCCTGGGCTGGGGTCCCGTCTTCTACATATTTGCCGCTATATGCTTCATAAGCTCGTCCTTCTGTGTCTTCTTCTTGCCCGAAACCAAAGGGCTGACTGTAGAAGAAATCCAGGCAAAGTTTACGTCGAAAAGAAAAGTTCCAAAATTGTATTAGCTGTTATTATTTAGTTTTAATAAATTATTTTTTAGTTTTAATTATGTTAGTTTTTGTGTTTTATTTGGAATCTTTTATTGATAAGCAGTAATATACAGATACTTCATACGCAACTTTGAATCCCAAATACCTTATTAACCTAAAAATGTTTGAGAAACTTTCTGATCAAATTGTCACACTAAAGATTCATATTTCTCTTTATGCGACAAGGTGGCAAACAATGAAACAGTTCATTTGATTGTTGTCAATAGGCGCGACTTTTTGGTTGTTAGGGATTATAGATAATTTACGGATTAGGGAATAGGAAGAAAAGGAGGCCTAATCCTCTTCCTCCCGAAATCCGGTAACCTAACCTACACGGTAAAAACAATTCAAGCGTTGTATTTTTTATTGTTCCTTTGATTTTCTATAAGACCTAAATATTGTTAGTATTATTTTCTATAACAACCAAGCGAGCCGGCCCATTCATGTCGGAGCATAACTCTCCCATGTGCATTTAAACCAACACAAGTCATAAGTAAAGAAAAGAAAAAAGTAATCTACATACAATATGGCAAACGCAGCATTAAATAGTGTTTCAATTAGATACTGGCAATAAGTGCCAGTAACATCAGTGCAATAAATATTCTAAAATGTGTTTGCTGTTTGATGATATCAGGCGCTCTACCAGTTGTTAATGATACACCTCTTAAATTATGAACCTATCTAAAAGTAATTTAAAGTTCTACTCACTCGATTAAAAGGTCGCGTTTCAATTGGAATGGAAATCTACAAAATTCTTATTTTAATAATTGTTTTTTTTTTTATTTCCTTGTTCGTTTCTTAGGTTCAGGTAATGGAATAGCCACTAAACTAAATTAAAATTAATAATTAAATATGCATGAATTTTGACTAAAATCATCATCGACTGCTGTTTTGTTTAGCATTAATGGTGGTAATGGTCGCATATAGAGAGGATCTAAGCGCTTACCCACTGAATTTGAGAGAAAAAAATAATACAGTGGTCACTTGTGACTTTCAATGAAGAAAATAACACAGTGGTCACTTGCCATCCACAGCGCACAACTAAACTCAACGAAGACATGTAATACGCAATAAAAATGTGCAGTAACTGGCGTTGCACCATACATAGCAAACCTTTTATTTGTCAGGGGAAAATCATCAAATGACTTCTCCCGCCCAGGCAGGCCCAGGGTATGGCGAAAGAGAGTGTCAGACTCTTACTGACTAAAAACCATAGCAACCCTGGAGTTCGTTTATTGACAGGACCCTGTGTCATTATTGTTGCTGATGGTGAGTCCCGAAGAAACTTTAGAGAAGTAAATATCCCACACGCTGCGGAGTATAGAATTTTTCCCCAAAAAGCTAGGTGCCAAATGATCTTCCAGTACTGAAAAAAAAACATAAGCAGCACGACGTATTGTTAAATCCTTTTAACAAATATTAGACACGTCTTCTGTATCGGTATGTAAATCCACAATGGCATTTCATTCGAACATGAACCGAAGGAACAAAACTCTAAGACCCAATTTTCAACAATCTATCGATGAATGACGCAGGTTGTAAACCGCAAATCAAATCAAATAAATAAAAAGCCACAAATCTGACACGAAGTACCAGGCGTTCATAACTCATATGTAGTACAAAGATGCAAAACCATTCAATAAAGGTGAAATTATACGAAACCGGGGCAGTGGGCCAGTGGCATGCAGCCATGGCTAACATTGTTTGTTCCATTGTAAATCTTTATGACCAAGTAAATGGAACGACTGCACCACACTGCATGTTACTGGTTTTAGATTCGAAAGGGGTCAAATTATATTTGACGCTAAGAGAAATGATAATGCAGTTTTGAATAATTTTCTGGTGATGTATTTATTCGTCGATAAAAAGTATATATATTCCTTAATACAAACCAAAAATAACCGTACAATATACACTCTTGTATGTCCGTTAACATCTCTGAAACCACTGAGCAGATTGTAACAAAATTTGCTGCAGAATATAATAAAGCATTCTTTGTTTTCATTTGATTCGCTGGCACACTGATTACCTATAAATGCCGCGCCGCCAATGAACACCTCAAACACCAAAGGAGTTAGAAGTGCGTACAATGCGTACATTATGAGGATAAGAGATTTTGGGGATTCAAGGATTGGGAAGAGATGTGGGGGGGTAGATTGGGTCTCCGTTAATCTCACTCTTATGGCGAAACAAAACGCAGTGCTGTATTTAAACTAGAAGCATTTATGTGTATTTCTGTTGTATGGTGTGTAGTGAAAGCTCGACTGCTAGGCTGGGTCCCTAATTGTCTAATTGAAAATGAAAGAATTTTACGTTCGATTATGTAGGTACTCAATAGTTGTAATAACTTTTACTGCAATAACAGATACTGGTTGTTCATTACGAGAGAATTTCGTGGGAATAATTTCCATATAAAATTGCAAGTTAAACATTATGAAACTACCAAACTGATTTTAATGAAATTTGGTACTTACACGCAATTCGCTCGTATCATATCAAGGCCTAAAAATATACTACGAACCTTTTTTAAGAATTTCATTCAATTCAATTTCAAAGTCAAAGTCAAAGTCATTCATTTCAATTAAACTATAAACAGGTACTTTTGTTCGTCAAAATAGAATAATATGTCTGTCTGTTCTTCAACGAGAGTATTAAGTGTGGGAGAGCCATGCTTCAGCACGAATAGGTCGGCTCGACCGGAGTGATAAAACGGCCTCAGAGAAAACCGGCGTGTAACGACCACAGCCTTGTGTTTTGCCGTGTGAGTGAGGGTACCGAGGCCCGATCCTTCCCCTCCCCCAATCCCTAAATCTCCAAATCCCTAATCCCCAAAAGGTCGGCAACGCACTCGTAACTCCTCTGTTGTTGCGGGTGTCCATGGGCGGCGCTGATTGCTTACTTCAGGTAATCCGTCTGCTCGTTTGCCGACTGATCACATAAAAAAGAGTATATGTACATACATATATAATTTGGAAACTTAAAATGGCCTCTCTCTATATCTTTAAACTATTTTTCAAAAATGTCCGTAAATGATTTTTTAGAGCTGATATATTTAAACAACAATCTTTTGAAAAAAGAATCAACAAACAATATAAAGTAGTCATGGCACATAAGTTATTTAACATTGGAATAAAAAATGGATGCCATATTTTCCACTCTGGAGATCGAACGCGAGATTTGCTATCGTGATGTTTTTAATATTGGAAATTATTCTTAACAATATGAAATTAGCACTCAAATATTGCACTAGCTATTGTTAAGTTGTTAGTTGGTAAAAAGAGAAAACATTATTTGAATTTTCTTAATAGACTTACACACAAATTGTTACCTTTACTATAAATTTTCGAAAGTTTGCGTACGTCTCATCTCTTTTAATGCATTTTATATTTTATTGCGATACTAGCTTTTGCCCGCGACTCCGTACGCGTGGAAAAGTGACTTCCTGCAGATTTTTGCTATCCTACTACTAACTATCCTATGTCCTTTCTCGAGTTCCAAACTATGTTTGTACCAATTTTCACAGAAATCGGTCCAGTAGATTAGGCGTGTAGAAAAGAGAGAGAGACAGACAGAGTTACTTTCGCATTTATAATATTAGTTTGGATGATGATACAGTTAAAAATCAAATTTTAACATATTAGTGTAAATTTCTTAAAATCTTTAGAGAAATTTGCTTATCTAGAGACGCTAGTATCGTGTTTGGACTTACGGTCGAGAGAGAGAGTATCAGTCTATTACTGATTTAAAACCACCCAGTACCTTTTCCTGCTCCGGGCCGGGACACATTTCAATTAAAATCCATTGAAAGGTGCTAAGACGGACAATTTTTAAAAACGCTCTTAAGCATAATGTGACCTCTTTCTTTCTTTAAGTTGGTTAAAAAATACCATTATTATAATGAAATCGAATATGTATGACAATCACGACAAAGCAACTAAATCAGCCAGTAATTTAATTAAGTAAACAGTTATTTTTACCCAAAATAAACTTTATCACAAGTGTAGAAATTACAAAATCCTTGCATAATCACATAAGAGTCACGCAAACACAAGTTAACGCTATCCAAACGTCTCCAGTTACACACGTCATGAGATCGTTGTACTAGGCAAACATAATAAAGGTGAATATCGTCGACATTACGCAGTACAATGTACGCAACATCGCAATAAAACCTAAGCTTTATGTGTTTTGTTTAAAAAATGCTCTTTTATCGTCTGCGTTCCTGGTAACGAGTGTCAAGTTCATGTGTCGTTTTTATTTTTTTGTTGTTTTTGACTGGGGTGATGTGAATTTTTTCAATCGAAATAAATTTTTTGGCACATTATTTATTATAATTTTAGGTACGTAATTATTGAAAGGATATAAGTTCAAATTTTTTTAACTTATTTATTTAGATTAAGTTTTTAATTTCGTGTTGTAAATTATTTCTATTGTAAATTTGTTTTGAACCTTTTTCAATGTAAAAAAAATACGCATCCCAAAAATAATTGTTTAACTTCATAAAATATTTTTGAAAGAATAATTTTTTGTTACAATTCTATTGATTTTATCAAACTTCGAATTAACTAAGAAAGGCTTTACTGGTTTGAAGTCATAAAGGGACTCTTTGAGCCTACTCGATAGCAGGCTGTTTATTCATAAAAATACATTTTATGATAATTATTATTCAAAAACCAAAAAATTTGAAAAAATATATATCCTTTAACTTCTATTTGTTATTCTACAAACAAAGAAACATATTATGTCATATAATTTAAAAATAAGTTTTTATGATATTTTAGTCTTATGGAAATTTTATCATAATATACATTTGTATAAGACATTTTTGTTAGTCAAATAATGAAAACAAACATACCATTATCATTGTACAATTGTCATCTAAAATCAAATCATTCTTGCTCTACGTGATAATCGTACCTAAATGTCAAACAAATTTATCGAAAACAACAACTTTCAAGCAAATTAATCGAGAAAAGCTCGACTTGTTTCAAGTTAGACAGGGACTCTTATTTATATCAGTGTACGCGTTACAACTTTACGTAGCTTATTAAGTTTACTAGTGTGACTCAATACTTTCTAGAAATCGGTAGTTATTACACATAACTCATTATAAGAATATAGTTAACTAGCTACTCTCGCGCGGTTTCACCCGCTGCTCGGCTCCATTTAATCGTACCGTGATGTTTATAGCTTATAGCACTCGGGAACATTGTAGCTATCTATCAGTGAAAGACTTTTGGCAATCCGACCAGAGATCCAAAGATCACCCCCTACATACAAACTTACAAATTTTACCACTTTATAATATTAGTATAGATAAAATACGCATAATAAATCCGTATTCTTTTCCTTAGATCACTTATTTCAAATAATATTAACATACATAGTTTTGAAATAAACATATAAATCTGTAAATAAAACAAAAATTAGTAATATCTTAATTTTTATTATAGCTGTGTGCCACGGTTATACCCGCGTAGTATTCACCGAGCTCAATTACAAATCAATTCTCTTCATAATTTTAATAATTTTTATATTATATTTTTAATAGCGCATCTGTTCATTTTTTTTAAATAAATCTTATTTCCATGGAGCCAATTTTTCCTGTTCCAAATTCACACACACAAGTCACCCAGATCTGATACAATTTGTAGATCACACTAAAAGTGCGGGAATCGAACCCCTTGACACGTTGCACGGCAGCCAGGTACTCAGCCACAGCACCAACCGTGCAGTCAAAGGTACTTGTAAAGTACCTTTAGAGTATAACTTTCTAAACATAAGGTTCAAAATACAATAAAGAAATTTTTTATTTTCAAATTTATTTTCTCCAGCAAATTGTATACATAAATCACAAAATAATAAATGTATTGTAATTAAAGTTGTAAGTAAAAACTATTGGTATCATAAAAACTGATACATAAGAAATTAAACCTTAAATAAAAATATTCTCAAAAACGAGAAAACAATATCAATAAGCTATTATCCTAAAAACCTAATTCTTTTTCCTTGCCCTAAACAAATCTTGGATTTGCGCATTTGATAGTCCTTTTGTTTCAGGTACTAAGATGAAAGACTGGACAGCATTAAGAAGACCTACAGCTCCGAAGAAGTAGAAACAGCCGTAGATGCCAAAGATACTAGTCATGAATGGGAAGATACCCAAAATGAAGAAGTTCAGGAACCACACCCATTCGATGATTATCATTGAAGCTATCCCTTGGACCTGAGGACAAAAGTAAATGATGTCAAGATAATATTTAGAAAAACATCATAATTTATTTATTTTATGTAAACGATGAAGCAATACATTTATTTTTGCATATAGGCCATAAAACGGCACTTTTTACACGTCAAAATTATGTATGAAAATCTAGATGAAACTGGCACTTCCTATCTGACTACTCTGAGAAAAAATTTCGACAAACACTCAGAGTTTCCTCTCTTTTAAAGTTCAGACAATGTTAATAATTAATGTAATGTGCGAGAACCATACAAGTTCATTCTGTAGTGGTCTTTTGAGGAAAGAACCACACCAGCTTAAGTAGACCCGTTCTGAAGACAGGCACGCAAGTGTCAATTTACAACCAGTTCAACGAACGGGTGCTGCTGACTTGACCGACGAACAATAAACGGTTAAAAGAACATTTTGTGGTACAAATAGTTTTATACATATTTTTTTTATTGAACAGGAAATATTATATATACTCGTTGTAAGTATCGCTGTACGCTTAAAGATCAGAGAGTGTATGCACAAACGATGATTGTAATACCAATTAAATTACTAAAAAACATCTTGAAATTGGGATATTTTTTTCAAAATAGCTAGTAATAAAACAACCACATACCATTTTAAATCGGTGCAAAAGGTTATTAAAGCAAATATTTATAATATTCAGTTGCCATTTGTAATTCCACCAACGTAATGGAAGTCAAAATCGGAAAGGATAGTCAAAACCGTTTTTTTGAATGTTTAGTAACTTTTCGATAAGAGAACAAAGCTTCGACATAAATGGGACGACTCGACCGGAATGATATCACGGTCTCACAGAAAATCGCCATGAAACAACTACAGCGTTGTTTCCCAGTTGTGAAGTCCAATCCTTCACTAATTCCTAAATCTTTCAAACCCTACTCCCTAAAAGACCGACAACGCACTCATAATGCTTCTGATGTTGTAGGTGTCCATCGGCAGCGCTGTTTGCTTACCATCAGGTAATCAGGCAGCTCATTAGTCCACCTATGATAAAAAAATAGTAAAACTGACTAGCCATAATACATCCTTACCTCGGCCTCAAAGACTTCAGCTAGCAACACGTAAGGTATGGTACCAGCTCCCACGAGGAATGAGAAGCAGTACGACATGAGCAGCACCACGGTGACCCATGCGGGCGCTGCCTTCGTTTGTAAAAGGAAGCCAAGACCAGCCATGCAGAGACTGACTAGTATTGATGATGATATTATTAGGACCTGCAAAAAGACGAAAGTTTATTTAATGTCGTAATGGCCGGAAGGTTAATGCACCCGCTTCTTATGCATGAGGGTTTAAAACCTAGCAGGTACTAATGTGATTTTTGCCAAGTTATATGTACTTTCTATGATTATTTAGACACCACTGGCAAACGGTGAGGAAAAACAACCTGGACTTATAACTTCTAATTATAAGTTTGATCTCGCCAATCCGCCTTGAGCAAACTTAGTGATCATTGCTCGAATTTTACCCGTATGAGAAGAAGCTTTGCTCAGCACTGGGCACTTTTGAATTAATGATTTGATGAGAAAGTTTTTTGAAAGATAGTGAGGAACATAATGGACTTCGACGAGGAGTCTTCTAATTGGTTGACTGAATTATCAACAACCAATCAGATGAAGATGATGAACAAGAAATTTAACAGAAGATTAGTTAATTTTAGCGTAGAAAAGCCTTTCAGAAACCGGGTGTCATTATCATAGTGAAATAATATTTTGTAGTTTGTTTTGTTTGTTTAGTTTATGGGCAAGCTGTATTTTTTTTGTGGCGTTAGTCTCTTCCAATTACATCTTCCGCTCTTCGTGGAACGAGAGGAAGTATCAGACTCTTACTGACTACATAACCTCGTTCCTTCTCCGGCTCTGGAGCTGTTTATTTGAAATACATTTTTTTGACTTTGACTTTACAACTTCTAGTAAAAACAATATAAAATATCTCTTACCCTTCTACCAGCTTTATCAGCGATAAGAGCTGAAGTCATGGCTCCACAGAACTGAATGACGGCAAACAGCACGGTGTTTAAATCTGACTTGGACGGGTCTGTCTGAGTAAATACAGTTTTTGCGTACACCTGCACTGGGATTATACCCATGAACACCTGGAAAAAATAATGGCTCAATTAGATTTCAGTTTTGATACAATTATTAGGTCCATTCAAAGAGTCACGAATGTTTGAAATCTATGTTCAACATCAATTCATTTTTTGGCTTAGTCATGGGAGACATTTTCCCCTTAGTCATGGGATACATCACACGTGGAAGACTAAACCGATACGGATGTTTTTTACGCTGTGTTCGCGAAAATCAGAAGAAGATCGCAAAATTGGGTAATAACAACCGCTTTGAAATAGCGAGATCGCCCAGGACGAGAAAAGACATTTGATTCGGTAAATGAACAGTCTTCCAAAGGAGAAACGGTCCACTGTGGTCTAGTATACTATGTGGACTACTATATTTCTGAACTAGCGACCCGCTCTGGCTTCGCACGGATGCAGTGCTGATACAAAACTTCTCCACTACTTAATGAACGTTATTATTCATATTAACCTTGCTCTTCAATCACTCTATCTATTGAAATAAACAGCATCAAAATCCGTTGCGTAGTTTTAAAGATTTAAGCATACATAGGGATCTAGCGACAGAGAAAGCGATTTTATTACTCCGTAGTGATAATTAGTGAGATTGTGAAGGAAAAATCATCAAATTGCTTCTCCCACCCAGGGCGGGCCGGGAGGGAGTGTCAGACTCTTACTGACTACTACTACTGGCCGCAATCCCATATTGCACCTACCCCACGACCGATACTGGATACCTTAGATTTTACTATGACGATTATTGATACTGGATACATTAGATTTTACTATTTATAACTTCATCGTCTTCCTCACAAGTTGGGGAAAGAAACTTTAGAGGTATGAGGAAACAGGGTGGAAAGTTCGGTTGACAGGATATCTGTATGGGTGCTAATTGTGTTGAAAACTCTTATAGCGCGATGTAGACTCTTGCACGTGATTGGTGCTGTTGTTAATGTAGTGCGCTAGATGTCGCTACAAAACGATTCAAAAATGGTTTTTTAATTACAGGGTTTTATTTAATATTTGTTTTATGTGTGTTTTTTTATTTTCAAAATTGAAGGACATAGTGAAATAAATCTTTTAGTAAATGTACTTTGTAATAATTTTAAGAATATTATTTACCTGTAATGTGATTGCAATAGTAACAACCATAAATGCACGTCTAGATGCGGCTGCCACAACTGAAAATATAAAATAGTTCGAATGTTAAACTCAGAAAAATAACAAAAACTACAACGAAATAGAAAATCTAATCCAAATACATATATTTATAAACAACTAGCTACTGTTGCGCGGTTTCACCCGCTGCTCGACTCTTATTGGTCGTAGAGTCATGTTTTATAGTTTATAGCACTCAGGAATATTGTAGCAATCTATCAATGAAAGAATTTTTGAAATCCAACCAGCGCTTCAAAAGATTACCCCCTACTTACAAACTTACTTTTACCTCTTTATAACAACAGTAGAAAACAAGACTAATTTTAAAGTTTTTTTTATTTAAAATAATAATTTTGAAAATCTATATTCATGTACTGACTTAATTTATGTTCTATTACGATAACAGTTTATATTGTGAAAACACAAAAAAATATTAAAAGTAACGAACGTTAACGTAACTATTTTTATAATAATGTAACCAAAACCTTCGAATTTAATAGCTAAAAACGTATTAGTACGTCAAACAACCTTCATTATTTTAATTATACTTACATAATATTTTTAATGGCGACATTTTCTTCGGTTCTTGTATGTCTTCATTGTTTAACTTTTGTTTTTCAGCTTCTTCGGCCTTCGGATCCATTTCTGTAAGACCATAATTGAAGCATTAATCTTCAATTTACTGTTTTGTCAATATTAGTCAACAATTGAATAGAAAAATATCAAATTTAATTCAAGCCAAGATCAAGCTTTTTCTCACCAACACTTTATCCACACACTGTGACGTTAACCTTCAAAATCCACAAATAATTAATAAACACATGCGTCGTATGGACATAAAATTGAAGTCTCGTACATCATAATCATCAGACTATAAGAGCCTACTGCTGAGCAGATTAGCTACAAACAGCGCCTGCTACTGAGCAAAGGCCTGTTCATACACGAAGGAGGTTCAAACATCAATCACCAAGGCTATAACTTATCATAAGAAATTAACGGGCCAGGTTTCCTCACGATGTTCTCCTTCATCGTATGGCAGGGGTGTCCAAATTAACTACGAAAGTATATGTTACTCGGGAAAAGTCAGATTTACGTACTTGAGTATTACATTTAAGTGTGGAGAGCCATGCTTCGGCATGAATGGGTCTGCTCAACCGGTGCGATACCAAGGACTCACAGAAGATCGGCGTGAAGCAGCACTTACATTGTGTTTAGCCGTCTAAGTGAGGTTACCGAAGGCCCCATTCTTCCCCCTTCCCGCACCCTCAATCCTTAAATTCCCTATCCTCCTAACAATCCATAAGAGCCCGGCAACGCAGATGTAGTAACAACTCCTTTGATAATACGAGTGTACATGGGCGGCGCTGCTTGCTTACCATTAGGTAGCCCAATTGCTCGTTTGCCGACTGCTGAATGCTTACCATCAGGCAGCCCAACAAGCCGATCTACATAAAAAATCTTGCTACGTTTCAACCCCGCGTCGTCCAGGCACCACGATTCGACCTGCCTCTTTCATAGGACAAACATAAAAGATCTTATTTACCTGTAACTGACACAAGTTCTACCGCTGGCATGATCTGATGCTTCAGTCTGGATAGTTCATCCAGTACCACCATGGAGTTAGGAGATACCGATCTATACTTCGCAATAGCTTCTTTGGCATCCTGGAATTCATATTTAGATAATTATTAGACTTGTTAGACTCCGTCAATGCACAAGTTATTCCTGTGGTGTTGTAAGTGTCCATGGCCAGTGCTGATTTCGTGCCATCAGGTAATGCGCAGGCTTGATTGCCGACTTGCCGCATATAATAAATCTAGCAATAAAATTACATCGATCATTTATTGAGAAAATAGATCAAACTCACCTCTTCTCTATTTTTCCTTAGCAAATACACAGGACTCTCCACAACTAACAATATGAGGATGGTGCATACAATACTAAGTATCAATTGCAGCCAGATAATTGTTCTGTATGACAAGAACCAGCCCACAAGGTATGACATCAACGTTCCCATGCAGTATAAGTATATTGACGCTGAAAAGAAACAGAAAGAAAATGTTCATATTAATAATTCTACAGTTACTGAAAAAATATTTAAACATAACAAACCGAAGGATGCAGGAAATTTCAACAAATTACTACAAGTAAACAAAGTAACAAATAAACGTGGAAGAGCAATGCTTCAGCATGAATGGGCCGGCTCGACCGGAATGTTACCAAGGCCTTAAAGAAAACCAGCGTCAAACAACAACAACATCGTGTTTCGCCGTGTGACTGAGCTTACCGGAGGCCCAATTTTTCACCTTTATATACTAGCTTTGGTTCGCGTAAATTTTACACAAATAGGTTTAGAAGTTTAGGTATCTGTTCTCGGTATGAAGAAAAGACAGACAGCATTATTTTCGCATTTATAATAACAGTTATTTCGAAGTCAAAAATTCAACTCGTAATCGGGCTAGTTTTGTTTGTACTCATAATATTTGTGTCATGCTTGCTTACATGTCCAGTTTACTGACACAAACACTGTATCTTAAAGATCCCATATCAGATAAATCTTTGATTCTAACCTGAAAAGATGTACTTTATCTTTCTATGCCGATATGATGTTCATTTGCACAAATAGAATTAGAATTCGCATGAATTTTTATTTTCGGCGATTTGCGAAAACACTGTCACTCAGACACGTCAGCAAATTTTTTATCTTTAAGAAACAGAAATCATGCGTCATCCTAAATAAGCATTTTTACAGGGCCTGCCAGTTGTATCGTAGTTAAGACAAGGCCTAACTGAAGGAATCCATTGGAAATCACTCAGCAAAAAATAAAACACATGGAAGAAACAGACAGAGTTAATAAACCCTGAAATTGTGTTGAATGAAAAAAAAATCAAACTACAGACCCACGACATAGTATAAAGCAAACTCGCTTTACAACTTCGTTATGTACGTTTTTTTTTAAGATAGAGCTATTAAATGGAACGGTTTATATGTATAATATAAATAGGATTGCACACGTGCGAAGACGGGGCGGGTTGCTAATAAAATTTATAAAATTTCTCGATCGTTTTCTACCTTTTGTTTATTAATAAAATGTAACTCGGTTTATGAAACCATTTAGAAAACTTTCTCAATGCAAACATGGAACACATGTTTCTTAATTTTTGGCAAAGAATATGTTATTTGTAAAGGGGTACAACCTGGATCTATCAAACCTATTCAAGGTTGCCTTTAAGTAAGCGTGCTCCATCGACCCACAACGCTTACCACTAGGTCGGCCCATACCAAAAACCCACTATGAGTACAAAAAAATGTAAATGCCCACCTGAAGCCAATGCTCCTCGTATAGAATCCTCAGCCACTTCGGATGTGAAGATCGGTGCCAAAACCAGAAAGCCACCACCAGCTACTCCAGCGAAAAACCTCGCTGCTAAGATCAGATTCATAGAAGACGATACTGATATTACAGCCCATGATAGCTGTGAACAAAATTCAATTGACTATCAAGTAACAAGTGTATGTGCAAATTAAATAAATATTTATTTTAAATTATTTTACCACTGTCTAATAACAACTTCAAATTCAAAATGTTTATTTTCACCTAGGGCCTATCTAATTTATGCATTTTTACTAAATTATGTATAGTCCAATCAATACTTTTAAAAGTGAATGATTCACAGTTGTCTGGACAGTTCCTTCAGCAGCTAACCGCAGTACATTTTTTGCATCGGACCCAGTGGACCCCATCTGAGGTGGGTTTTGGTGGTCTAATGCGGTCTTATGAGTCTGGATGATACTGTTCTGGTGGTAAACTATCTTTGCTCATTCTATCCCGACAACCGCCTAATGAGGTACCAAGGTCGTTAGGCTGATCGTCGACTCACTGCCTCCACCTTAGTTAGCATGATAGCTTCGTGGAAGGAGTAGACAGCTTCTCCTCGCTTCGCACTATAGCCCGTAGCCGCTGATTATCGTTTTCCTGCAGACCACCGTAAGTTCCATTGTGTTCTCGTTAAAAAGTACCCCTGCCTGTAATTCTAATAAAGTTTGGAATAAAACTCACCACAAACGGCAAAGACAAAATAACACCACCATTTCTTCTGCCCAAAGCATTGATCAATGTACCAGCGACAGCAGTTCCAATCATAGCTCCTAATGAAGGTAGACTACCCAACATGGCCTCTTCACCCTTTGTCATAGGGGCTGATAACGGTGTGGTTGTATTTGAAGAATATAGTTCTGATGTGTATGATGGCCAGACATTTAGGGCTCCCATCACGAGGGACCCAAAGCCACCTGAAATAGAGGTACAGAAAGTTATAAATATAAAAGGCCTTTTCAATTAAGTAAATTCTAAAAATTAAAAGAATTAATTTCGTAGTATGGATAGCAAAGAAGGTTTTTTTCCGGCAGAGCAGAAGCGAATTTTGTTCCTCTACACTAGTTGGTATGCTTTATTTGTCTACAAATTGCAGACAAAGGCTACGTAAAACCAATTTCGAAACTACTTAACAAAGCAAGTTAGTAATAATATTTTTTTAATATCTCTTTACAATTTTAATATTAAGTTTTGGTTTCATTTAGGGAAGATTTTCGATAGTGATCATTATTACGAAACATGCGTCAGTGCCAGCTGTTTTGCATATCAAATCGGGCCAAAACAGACATCCGTCAACATACGATAAAGAGTACGCACCAACAATAAATGTATGAACTATATCATTATTAATTTCAATTTTAAAGTATTTGAATATGAGGTTAATGAATGTGACATAGCGTATCTAGAAGCAAACTAGAATAAAATAAAACAAATAATTGTATGAGCAACGGCAACGTGGCAATTATGACGGTTTCTGTTGATAATTTCAAAGATTAATTTCTTTTGTTTTATTATATCTTGATGTCAATGATAGAACTCAAAGTCGAATCTGTCATTTCAATAACATTAAAAATAACGTTCCCTAAGTCATTTAATAGGAATGTCTCTGTCAATCTAAATGAGCTTTAGTGGTGTTGGCTACTCGCTACTTACTTTGATGAAAATAAGCATATTATTACCGTAAGTAAACTAATTTAAAACATAATATATATAATAGAAAATAATTTACCCTAAGAAGAGAATTTCGGAATGGCTTTTTTTCTGAATCCTATAATTAACCGTGCGAGCCAGTTGATACTGTCACAAAACATACATCCACGTGTTTAAAAATTTGTCACTGAGATTTGCTAAAAAATTAACAAACAAATTCCTACCTTAAAACTTGATTCAACATTGCCCTCATTGTTTAGTATTGATTAGCTTAAATTTTCATCTTATTCCTTTGTTTCTTTCGGCCTTTATCATTACTTAATTGTTATTTCGGTTGCAATCGAATGTTCACGTTTATTAATATATTATTTTAAATCATTAGTTATTTTTGTTAAATCACTAACGTCTTATTTATTTTCCTTACTCTCTCCACAAGCATTAACATCATTTTTATTTCCAATTTTTCTTCCAAAATCATCACGACCTTACAAACCACACTGACCCCAATAAACTACACTTATCACACAGCATAATTATACAATTATTAAAAACAGTAAACACGTCTCTTAGCACTCAAGTTCTACCACAAAATGGACATAAAACATTTTTTTCTATCTCAAACGAGATTTTTCATAATGTATTGAAATATGCGGCTAAAAAATATTTTTGCTTACCGGCAAAAGCCGCATGGACCTGCCTTAGTCTTCCTTTGCTCATGTTGATTCACTTGCAACTAACGAGTATCGTCAATTCACATTCAAGTAATAGTAACATTTCGGCAAATAGTTTCATTACATAAATGAATTAGAATACACAAAGATGTGTAAACAAAAATCGTGTGTAAATATTTTATCTTACGATAAGTCTGTCATCCTTATCATTTGTGTGGCGAATATATTCGTGTGTCTCTCCGTTACATTAATTAGGGATCTATTAAAGTCAACATATTTTGTTAAAATATTTATTTTTAGGTATCTTTTTTCCATCTTCTTGCTATTTGTCATTTATGTTAATATTTTAATGAATTTTCATCGTGATTTTACTTTTTTTGTTGTTATTGGAGTAATGTCAAGACTGAATTAGACTATATTTTTGGTAAGAAAAACGTTGACCCTATTTAGGTATTTCTCCTATGCATGTCAAATTGTATGGTTGCGTTTACAAACATACAATTTGACATGCACATCACACCCAGACCCGAAAAAACAATTTGTTAATCACAGAAAGCATTGTTCCGTGCGGGAATCGTACCCGCGACACGTTACGTGGCCACTAATGCCCAGCCACCGCGCCTACCGACCAGTCGATTATAACATCAACAATTACTGGTACAGTGCTTTCAACTCTACGAAAACCATTTTCATTTCAAGAAAGAGTCTCACATGGACGAGGTGTTTTAAATCCGCTGTGGCTTTTTCTGAGTTATATATCATTTTCACACCAGTACCATATGAAAGATTAAATCATCACAAGCAAATAGAAATCGCCGATCCAACTAAAGCAAACGTGGTAATAAGCGACTCACCTAAAATTTCGCTACATGCGAAGAAGCCTTTAATCAGTAGTGAGGCAATTATAGGCTGGCAATTATGTGATGATGACCTGAATTTGCTCACTTTGATACCTTAAACAAGACATCGTGCAACTTCAGTTATTTACAATATAATTTACGACTCGAGCACCAAGTTCAAGGAAATACGTGTAGCAGGAAATGAATAATCGAGTTAGAAAGTCTTATTAAGATGTGTCGTTTCATAGATTAACTTAATCTATATTTAATATTATAAAGAGGTAAAATTTGCAAGTTTGTAAGTTTGTATGTAGTAAGTAATCTTTGGAACCTGGTCTGGTCGGATTGCCAAAATTCTTTCACTGACAGATAGCTACAATGTTCACGCTACGACTAAATGGAGCCGAGCAGCGGGTGAAACCGCGTAAGAGTAGCTAGTACAAATTAAAGACACTTTGGCGCTCTTACTTCGATTAGCAATTTGGTCGTAATAAGAATAATGTCTTGTTTTCTTTCAAATCTTGATATTTCTTGTAATTGTTTTTAAATTTTCACAAATTAAACTTTTTTCACTGTTTTAAAACTTCCATGACCATCGTATGACTTTAAACCTATACTTCGTCATAAATCGTCATGTGACTGATTGCTAAAGCTCCAATCACCCCATCTCCCATCACTAAATATTTTAATCCTTAAATCTCACACAAGTACGGCAGCGCTTTTTTATGAAATAGGACATTGTTGATTGCTTACCATCAGGTGTGTATCCTATCGTTAATATTGTGACGGAAAAGTGGTTCAAACTCTTTGACATCATGACGTCAATGGATGGTTGTCAAACGTTGCCTAGAGATTGTAAATTTCGTCGTGAAGTTTTTGTGGAACTTTCTGGAAGCTTTTGTGTGAAAGAAATGAAAAATTAAAGAGCGAGAAGGAGAATAAATAAAAATGAATAACGAAATTATTGGAAGGTACTGGAGTCAGGACGATCAAAAAGAATAACGAAATTGAATGTTCCAGAACCTAACCGGGGGTATATAAGCAGAACTGCGGCTCACCGCTGGCAGTGGAGTTCTAAGTCCAAAGCGATTCGGAAGAAAAGGAAAAAGTGAAAAAGAAGAAAAGTGAGTGAAATAGTGAAGTGCAATGAAATAGTGAAGTGCAGTCAGTTAAGTGAGTTAAGTCAGCGCGAACAGTGAACGGCAAAGTTGTGTCAGTTTTTTTTTTTTTTGTGAGGGGAAAATCATCAAATGACTTCTCCCGCCCAGGGCCGGGCAGGAGGGAGTGCCAGACTCTTACTGACTAAAAACCCCCCTGTTCCTTCTCCTGCTCTGTGCCGAGGTCGCGGTACCTCATTGCGCTTACCCCGCAACCCCGGCTGAACATCAGCCCTTTAGGGCCCCATCTGTGGTGGTCGAATGGCTCTTTGAGGCGCGCGGAACGCTACGCGCCGTACGCTCGGGCCTGGTTCTGTTCGGGCGGCGAGCTGCCCTTACTCGCCGACCGCAGGCCCGTGCTTACGGTGGCCGGAGATCGTCCCTCGATCCCCGACGCCCGTAGTGTCGCCAGTTGCGGCTGCTGGGGCGTGAGGAGGAGGATTGCTCCCTCACGCGGGCCGCCTCTCTCTTTGCGAGCATGACTGCTTCACAAAAGGAGGAGACGGCGTCCCAGTTCCTCTCACTCTGCACCATGGCCTCGACTAAGGCCGGACGCGAGAGGTCGCCGCCGCCGATCACTTCCCTGAGGATACGGCGGTGCTCAGCCCAGGCAGGGCATACCGCTACCTAATGCTCCACCGTATCCTCTAGGTGGTCCTCACAATGACGACACTCGGGCGTTTCCTCCCGCTGAATCCGAAACAGGAACCTACCGAAGCTGCCGTGCCCGGTAAGCACCTGCGTCAGACGGAAGGTGAGGACGCCGTGGCGTCTCCCAAGCCACTCCTCAAAGAGGGGTCAGGCTCGTAACAATATCTCCTATCATTTTTATGCTTCACTAACTAATGTTATTGACGTATGGTTTTTCTTCAAATACTGTCGTGAAATGTCTTAGTAACAAGTTATACCTCAGTTTGACGAGGCAAGATACAGTAGCTGTTTATGTGTGAATCAGTTTTATTTAAATAACTGCTATCAACAGTCTTATGTTAGCTCTGGCGGCATATAATTTTACTATTTATTTATATTTGCCATCATTTATGGTGGAATTATTGTGCTAATTTTAAATGTCTTAGCCACATTTTTACATCAAATATACTGCTTATTTTCGGCTCACTAGCTTTTACTACCAATGTGCCTCAAGTCTTTAACTTACAACTCCATATTTGTTAATGAACTTTGGACTGGTATCTAAGAAAAATAAATAAAAATACATATCAAGTTGTAAGCAAATAATTGATTACGGTTTATTTATCAGATCTCCTTATTCTAAAACTTAAATTAAAGGTAACCTAGTTGACTAAATTCACAAACATGATGACGTTAATGTCGATCAAGTAGCTTTTAAAATATTTCTAAGAATTAATATAACTACATGATTTGGGAATGGGAATGGTGATTTAGTCAAAAATACTTATATTGTTTCCATTAACTAATAAATAGCATTGATTCATTGTTTTTTTTTCATTTTTTCTCTTTTTGAGGATGTTTAAACTAATTAAAGAATAACAAAATAACAATTAAGTAAAATGACTTATACAATTTACTTACAAATATATGTATATATTTAGTGATTAAAAAATTCATTGAGTTTGACTAGTTATCATCATCCCATATTGAATTTTCATTGTATTATATAAAAAACTGTACTGAGAGGTGTTCCCCAAGGAAACACACTGGGTCCAATGGCACCAAAAGATCATAATCGCTTTTTAAACAGAAAAGAGACCTAACTCAAAAGATAAAGTATTTCAATCTTAAAAATTATGCTTCAATAATAAGGTTCAATTTTGGAATATCCTCATTTTTGAGTTAGGCCTTTTTTCTATTTAACTTGCGATATCAAACAAAATGTTTATCCTTGTAATCTACACATTAATAATTAGAGTATTATACTTACAAAATTAAATGACTACAAGCACAAGTATTTATTTAATTTAAAACTAAATTAATTTCACATTATAATCTTGAGCTTGATAACAAAATTTACAAATCACCATCTGTTACAATTCATCATCTGTTATGAGGAACAAAAGTTTGAGATTATTATAAACATACGTATGTATTTGTATAATAGTATTGCTGGAAAGGTGTGGTTTTTAAGGAAAATCATTTATCATGTTCTCTCACTCTGGATGAGCTGATTGATTCAGACTTTTACTGACTAAAAACAGCTCTTTTCGCAATCCATCAATACGACTTACGGTTTGTGTTACAAACCGGAATTATTGAGGGAGTATATATTTCTTTTTTAAATTTTTATATAGATGAAGTCGGTAAAAATGATGAATGCCAAGAACTGCGAGAAATGGCGCAATGTCCAATCAAATTAACTTTGGCATAGCTGCGATAACACATCAATAATAATCTTTTTAAAACATCAGTTTTTCCACAGTTTAAAAGAGAGTGAACAGGCCCCTGTCCGTAATTCCATTTTCATCGATTTATCTTATTCGAATTTTAATTCTTGTTTAATGTGCATGCAGGGGGCTTTACACTTTCGGGTCATTTTTTATGAAAAATAAATATTTTCTTGCTAATGTAAATAAAAAACACAGTAATTACATTGAGTGTTTGTCATTTAAGCCACGTTTCGGTGCATAGTCATAGCTTTAGCTCAAAAGTTAAGTTCTCTCAGCTGCCAAACAAATATAAGTTACATGTTCTACCTACCAAACCAGGAGCCTACCTTATCACTTACTTTTAATATTTGTTAAAATACAAAATACATTGCTGGTAATTTTCTTTACAATATTTTGTAAAGAAAATTACCAGCAATGTATGCTTTGGCAAAATATATCAAACTAAAAATGGTCAGAATACAGGTTTGTTCTGTATTCTGAGTAAAAATGATAAGGGGTTATGACTTCTACTTTGTTTTTAGTCAATCAAAATATTTTAAACCAGCTTTTGCCCGCGACTTTGTTCGCGTGAAATAGTGATTTTCCGCAGATGTTTGTTATAAAAATCCTATGTCCTTTCTGGAGTTTCAAACTATATCTGTACCAAATATCACAGAAATCGGTTCAGTAGTTTAGGCGTGAAGAACAGATTAACAAAATTTGGATTTGGGAGTGGAAAGTAGCTTCGTCACCTCTTACTATAAAATGTACGAATTAGCCGTACGAAATCTCGTCGTAAGAAAAAAAACCTATAAAATTAATTTACTCAAATTTACTCAATAAAAAAGTACACTTTTTCTTTTTGTTTTATACAATAACTTAAAATCTACTTCTGTTTATTAAATAAATGACTAATCCCTCAAGAATTCGGTTTCAAATACAAATAGATTCACATAAAATTTAAACAACGCTTTTTACAAGCAATAGCTGGAACACTTATTATAGCATACAGGACTAACCTTGGACTAAGTACTATTAGTACTACTAAAAGTATAAACAGTCAAAAATCGACTATAAAGTCTTTAAGCATCTATTTTCCTCTTAGTCTTCTTAACAAATAGGGCCTGGATGGCATCTATCGACAGTCCTTTGGTTTCAGGTAAATAAAACACACAGTAACCAGCTCCAACAAAACCTACAACGGAGAAGGCGTAGAATAGAGGAGCGAACCCAACCTCCTCGACTACTGGGGTGAAGATAAGCACGGTGACGAAGTTCATGGCCCAGCCACAGGTCATCACAATACTACCACACAGTCCTCGAACCTGGAATAATGGGAAATGGTTAGAAAAGACTAATAATTTTGCAATAAGGTTCGAAGACACTTAAAGAACAAAAAAATGTCGCACATTACAACAGTATGGTATGGTATGTAATGGTATAAATAAAATAGTGACTACGAGTACTATATATATATTTCTATTAAAGATACAGAAACAAGAAAAACTACAGTTATTTCCATAACATCCTAGCGATATCTTAAAGTTAACATCTAAGACGTCTTTAAGTGTCGCAACCACAAAGTTTTTATTATAACTTTCGTGAGACATTCTAAATTAATTATTATGTTTTCGGCTTACTCGCGTAATAATTTGACGAGATATTCGACTAGTTTGAAGCCATGCTAGAGGCCCATATTCATGAGCAGCATTCCGCGACACGCGACTCGGCGACTGTCGCGCTGCTACTGTATCTGGTCAAATTATTACGTGAGTAAGCCGAAAACATAATAATTAACCACAAAGTTATTGGCATTGCCATCTTCAGGTATACTCTGTTAAAAAGATTTCAGATTTCTTCAAAAAATAATACACTAAACGGACATCGATGAGAAATGAAGAAGAAATAAATTGAGAAAAAGAACTTACTTCAGGCAAAAACAGCTCAGCACTTAAAACAAATGGAATAACAGCAACTCCAAAGTTGAAGATGAAGCTGTACACGTAGATGATGAGAGCAGTGAACCAATGAGGAGCCCAGTGCCATTGGATTTGAGTGCCAAGGAGCGTCGTGCAGACACTGGCGAGAACTGATGTACTAATCATCAAGGGCTGGAACAAACAGTTCACGTTTATGTGAGCCTGGTACCACAAAGACCTGAGCTTTGGGATTTTGATGAATAAATTATAACATACTTCGCTGGTTTCTTATTTGGTATTCAGTAATATAATAAAAGTCTTGCATGTCCCTCCCACTTCCCCCTCCCTTTTCCATTCCTATTCCCCAAATCTGCTAATTCCTAAAAATCTTCTTAAGGCCAACAACGCACTTGTAACTCCTTCGATGTTGGTAGCGATTGTTTACCATTAATTGATTCGTCTGCTTACTTTTGCTACTATTGATATCTTAGCCGAAATCAGAGCCAATATTGCAAAACCTTATTTTTATGTGTGGAAAATCATCAAATGGCTAAATTATAAATAGACAAAACACAAATGATGGACACTCCCTCATGCCTCGCCCGGGGCCGGAGAAGTTGTTTAATGATTTTCTCCTGACAAAAAAATAGGACAATCTAGAAAATAATTTACGTGGTACTGTGTCTCACTGCATGATGGTGGGAACATTCATAAAAGCCGTTGATAAATATAAATACAAAATTCTTTTAAGAATGAGATAGGTACTTCCGAATAGTTGTAGAATAAAAATCGGTATTATTAACTAGAATATTAATGTTTATCGAAAATCAACCACGGGTGGAGAGTTAAAATAACATTAAATTAAAAAAAAAAGAACAAATACAAACTCACCTTTCTCCCATATTTATCAATAGCAAAGCTGCACAAAACGCTTGCCAAAAGCAAATCTATGGCTAAGAAGATAGAGCATTGGTTGGAATCCATCGACGGCACTGCTTCTCTGAACAACGTCTCTGCATATACTTGCAGCGCAATGTTCCCCATCAGTATCATTGTTGCCATACACGCTAAGCTTGTTATTAAAGCTTGTATCGACGTTTGAGATTGTTCTGTGGAAGAAAATTTATTTATTATGATTTGAATGTGTTTTTGTAATTCCTTAAAATTGGGCCTCTAGGGCTCCGATTCATTTGTTTTGTTTCGAAAGACAGGCTGCAAGTTTTCTGGGCTACAATAATTACAAAATAGTTATTGTTTTTTTTTTAGCATTGCATCGCATCACATTATATCATCAGCCTGGTGCCTAAGTTAGTTACTTTAAGTGATGAGTAAAGGCTACTTTACTTTACCTATATTATTATTATAATTAAAACTTAACACGCCGAGAAGATTTGAGCATTAATCCTCGCTAGCTTAACCTTTCGTATGTCTTAAACGTGGATCCACGCGAGACACAATGTATTTTCTATTGTGTCTTATAAACCGACATTCAACGGGTTAAGGCAGATCTTAAAATTTCGATATCTTTTGAACAAGAATAAGAAGTGCTAGAATATGATGATGTAAAAGACTTTTTAAGATTTTTTAACAATACAATAATCTTTTTTCTTTTTTTTTGATTTTCTTCTTCTTTACCGAATTTAGTCTGTAAATTATTGTTGTTTTAACTGTTGCCCATTTAAGCAATCATTCGTGTAAATCTGTAAGTTGTTATTATATGTTTATATCGGGGTGTTAAAATTGTACATTTTAACTGTTGATTCACCATAAAATAAAATGAATAAGAATCAAATTTATAAAACCTCTTTAGTTCACGGAATCAATTTTCATGTCTAAAAGGAAACTTTATGAACATCGATGTTCACAATCTAACAAGTTATTAGAGACAGGTCGTGTTTTGTTCTGCCCACGATATTATCGGTTCACATTTAGAAGATGAACCCTATTGTAGTAGATATAAATGTGTATTTTATTGTTGAAGGTGTATTTTTTTAATTTGGTAATTATTTCAAAGCAAAAATAGCAAATAGATATTTTATGTACTTCACGGGACCACAGGGTCCCGGACCTTTGGAAGGCATACGAGGAGCCGAAGCCAACTCGCAGAGGCCCGTTGAACAATTTTAATCTAAATGTGATGGGACATCAGCCGGCAATTATCCCTGTATGCACTATAAAGGTGCACCCAAGGACAATTCCCGGTTGATGCAGGACTATTGTAAAATGTGGCAAGAATTGATAGGGTTATGGGTATGGGTTGCTATGCACTAGTGGATGAAAACTATGGAAATACTATGGCCCCTGCCCCTGACCAATATTGATATTATGTACTTTAATTATTACAAGTTTTTATTTATGCATTGTAATCGTGAAGTAAATAGTGGTGAATATTGGTGAAGGAATTCATCGTAAGGAAACCTGGACTTATAATTTCTACATAATTATAATTAAGTTTTAAAATCGCAAATTTGCCTTGAGCATGGTGATTAATGCTCAAATCTTCTCCGTGTGAGAAGAGGCCTTTGCTCAGCAGTGGGCACTTATGGGCTGATGATGATGAAATAGAATCTTGAAACTAAATTTTGAAGCAGTTATCACCAACCGATTGAATTGCATTTTTTATCGAAATCCACAATACAACGAATCAAGGATTTATCACGTGATAAAAGTTTGTTTTAATTTTAATTTATTATGTAAACAAAATTGTGTTTCTTATTTAAAGCGTGCATTTCAGAATTATTAGGTAGGTATAGAAATGTAATTAGTATTTTTATATACCAAAAAAACTCACTCAAGAACTGCCATTCTGACAACTGCTGCACTGGTGGTGAAGGGCTGATCAGCTCTTTGGTAATCGTTGGATCTGGAAAAGAATATTTCAATGTCATTACGTTTTTGTAAAGTCGTAAATAATCTCCTGTTGAACTTGTGTGGTCGGATGTTTGAATAAGTTGTTAAATAAAAAAAAATTAGGAATCATACTAGGAGTTGTTCCAAGGTTTCTATACTTCCTACCTCCTTAGAGAAACAAAACAACATCTACGCATACTGGTGAGAGCCGATTTTATGATAAGTTTTGCATAGAAAATCCCATAAGATGATGCAATGATTACATTAAGTATGATTTATTATCTACAATCACTGAAGGTGTGCCTCAACCACCCATTTTCCTAACAACTAACGAAACGAAACACAATAATCGAACTTATAGTACCAGTAATTAAAAGCCATTGTCATTTGTTCGCTGCAATGATGTATCACCAAATTACATATTTGTTTTATTCTATTGTTTTCTAAAATGCAGTGTTAATAAGTGTATTTAAGTAGTTACAGATTATAGACGTCACGGAAAAAGAAAATGTAGGTAGGCAAATAATGACGCAAATAATGTATTTTGCAAACAACGTATATAGGTATATGTTTGTACTAGCGGCCCGCCCCCGCTCCCTAGCGTACAGCCAAAGACCCACTAGACAAACACAACTCGGGCCCAACAGGGTCGATATTCAGTCAGGATTGCGGGTCAAGCGGAATAAAATACCGTGTTAAGGCCTATAGCAGGAGAAGGAACGAGGTAGTTGATAGTCAGTAAGGATCTGACACTCCCTCTCTAGGCAAGAGAAAAAAACCCTGATTAGCGTGGTTGTGCAACTATCTCAGAGTCAGTCATTTTTTGCTAGTGAAAGGCATGCTATATTTTGACCTCTCAACTTTTCTTAGATCAGAACCTTCTCTTAAAGACATTTTTAAGTTATGGAGTTGCGAACATATTTTGCGATTCGTTTTTATTTAAATTATGAATTATGAACTAGAAAAAATGGGTGGCCCAAACATTACATTAATAGATGCATCATCTTAAAAAAAGATCAATGTTGCTTACATAGCTCGCATAGCATCTTTAGACAAAAAATGCCAAACACATTTATGCATGCATCATGAATTTACTCCAAATCCATAAAAATACCTCTAACGTTAAGTCCCGGGACTTGCTGAATTACTGGATAATGGCTTGTTTTTTAAAACGTATTCTTTCAAATTAATTAACTAAACAAAACATTTGCACACACAACAACGAATGGATTTTTTTTTTTGTGAGAGGAATTTCATCTAATGACTGCTCCCGCCCAGGGCCGGGCGGGAGGGAGTGTCAGACTCTTACTGACTAAAACCCCCCTGTTCCTTCTCCTGCTCTAGGCCGAGGTCGCGGTGCCCGCATTGCACCCCGCAACCCCGGCAATAACGAATGGATGGATGAAGACTTTATTCAAACACACACACCTATTAACGTCACACGTGCATTTTTTACAAGCGTTCTAAAGTTTCCACAATTTATCAATGGGATTAAGTAGACATGACTTTTGACGTCACGGAATGGGACAGACTGCTTGTCTTATCATTATTAGTTTTAATTAACACGTGACAAATCCAATCTCTCAACTACTTTATTAATATCGTTGAAAACTATTGAAAGACGCCATTTTCGAGCTTCCAACTGCTTGGAACACCTTTTAAGAAAATTGTTTTTCAGGAATCTTTTTTTGTTGGTGGAAATCAAATTACTTCTTTTGCCTCTTATTTAGGTTAGGTTAGGAATTCTCCTGACTCGCCGGAGGGTGGGTAGGCGTCGGAGGCATTAAGCCACGCAAATACCGCCCTAGCAACAGCCAGTGGGTAGAAGAACAGGGAACTGCTGCCTGCATTGCACGAGCTGCTGCTGAGATGGATAACCAATAGATGGAAGTGACCAGCCACTGCCGAGAAGTCACGAAAGTCGTTTGGTCCTCGTGGGTTCTCCCAAAAGGCAGAAGACGGCACGAAAGCTGAGTTTTTAGTAGGTGCAAGCCCTACATAACCTCATCGTTTTCACGGGCGATGTATGTATGCGAAAGGCACTTTTCTAATCCTACTGACTAAAAATGGGAACGGGATCAACTCCTGCTTTATGCCGGTTATGACAAAGCGACCTGAACAGGCACTGGTTCCTGCCAATTTCAATGGGCCTTCACCAATGGACTTTCTTCAACGGGCGGTAACCACTTACGGCCCGAAACACAATGCTGTGGTTGTTTCACGCTGTTTTTATACGAGGCCGTGATATCACTCTGATTGAGCCCACCCATCCGTGCCAAAGCATGGCTCCCCTACACTTAACACATAATTTAACATGCATCAACATGAATACTTCTAAAAATACACCGTCCAATGAATAACAGACATGTTATGCTTCTTCTGAAGGAAATATTATTTTCTTCATTTCACGAGGAGTCGCAATTTTCACTATCATTTAATACAAATAATTGCAGACTTATTTAACTCCAAGATAATGAACGCAAACATGAGCTAAAATTATCAAATACGTCCTTCTTGTAATTCGAACAAATAGTTGAACAAATATTTCTTACATCATAAAGGGGTTCCAACGTAACTGGAAGCTGACGCACGAACTAATAAATATGTACTCAACAACACCAGCCTATAAGAGCCTCTTCTCACAAATTTCTCGAAATTTTGGGCATTAATCACCACGCTTCCTCAAGGCGGATTGACGATTTCAAGCTTTAGAAGCTACAAGTAGAAGTATATCAATGATGTCTAAATAACTACAAAGGTATATATAAATTGGATTAATGGCACATTGGTACTTGCCACTCCAAGTTTCGTGACCGTGCCCTCATGCATGAGAAGTGAGTGCCATTATCTCCAGCCCACCACAAAATGTTTCACTACGCTTTAGTTGTAGTTGTGCCATAGGCAGCTAACTCAATTAGTAATTCAACTAACTGATGGAATGACTAGGCATTTTATTGAACGCCTGGATTTCTCAATCAGTTGGAAGGTTAACAGATTGTCTTGAAAACCGAATAGCTCCCAGAATAGTTGGTTAAATTATGTAAGCACAACGGTCTACACAGAAATTGAATCGCCATCATAAATAAACAGATACGTCAATTGTACAATTTTTCTCTGTCTCTGGCTTCTGCACTTCTTCTTCTGAAAGGGCGAGAGTCACAGGATCCTAGTGACTAAAAATCACCCTATTCTATTTCTTGCTATAAGCCGGTATGCCATCCATAATTGCTCTAACTCCCGCAAGGTCATAGGCTCTATGAAATATATCTATCTATACTAACATTATAAAGAGACAAACTTGGAAGTATGTAGGTATGTAGCAATCTTTGGAATCGCTGGTCGGATTTCCTAAATTCTTTCACTGATAGATACCTACAATTGCCTTGCGTATTTAAGTCGAGCTATCGCTTTTAAAGTTGCTGTATGAAATACAATGAAAACCACTATACCTGCTTCTCCTTCCAGAATCTTCTCCAATCTTGGGTCTAACAGAAGTTTGATCTTGGATAGTTCTACTTCAACTTCTTTTGATGTAGGTTTGACTTGTCGGTAGAATGCTATTGACTCTTTGGCTTCCTGAAATATTGTAAATCAGTGTTAGTTTTACAGTGAATTCTGCCTACTTTGTTGGAAGGCGGGCGTGGCGATATGTATGATGCGTATGCAGCGTTATCATCCAAATCCAAATTAATATTATAAATGCGAAAGTAACTCTGTCTGTCTGTCCATCTGTCTGTCTGTCTGTCTTTTCTTCATGCCTTAACTACTGAACCGATTTCTGTGAAAGTTGGTACAGACATAGTTTGGAACTCGAAAAAGGACATAGCATAGTTTTTATACCAAAAATCTGCAGGAAGTCAATATTCCACGCGAACGGAATTGCGTGCAAAAGCTAGTGTCTATTTATAAAAAAGGGGGCTAATGAGCAGATAGGTCACTGTGATGCTAAGCAATCTGCACTGCTTCTAATCCATAAGAGTTCAGGTGCGTTGAAGGCCTTTGGAAGAAGCTTTTATCTTTCGTTATTACTAAAAAGGCAAGGTTTAATCCCTTGTTAGTGTAACCAATGAATGAATGATGAATTTGAAATTTTACAACAAATAGTAGGTAAAATCTAAAATATACAGCAAAAAGAGTTGATTCTTTATAATTTGCAAAGTTTTGCACTCTTGTTAACTATTTTTGGTTACAAATTTACATCCGCTTATTAATTGCATGCATTTACTAAATTATTACTTATTATTTTATTAGGTGCTTACATTTAACAATTAGATAAATGGTGATATTGCACAAACATGACAAAGATACCAGTAACGCCATCTTTTAAACTTTGCCCGTACTAATTACTCATTTTGATACGAAATCGTTGAAAGGAGTTTTGTCCAGTAATTCTTGTAATTGATAGGGCACTATTGATAATACTGCATAATAGTGTCATTGATAGGCAGTTCAATAGTTTACAAACAATTAATTGATTATTTATTACATATTTATTATTATAATTTATAATGTACTCACTTATTGAATAAGTACACCTTCTTCAATAAGTGAGTAGGAGGGCAATACTTTTATCAAACCGCTTGTTGTTTGTAACAGTCAGTACAGTGCGTGCCTTTTATTTAGGATTTTTTTGAGAGAAAATTATGTCATTGCGAGAGACCTAGCTCAAACTGACATTGAACTTGACAACACTAAACCAAAAAAGCTTTCTAATCTAATATTATAGAGGCAATTTTTTGAAGTGTATGTAAGGGGTAATCTTTGGAACCGCTAGTCGTATTTCCGAAATTCTTTCACTGATAGATAGCTACAAAGTTTCTGAATGCTATAGGTTACAAAGTATACTTGATATAAGTACTGATGTTTTTTAAATCCCGGGATACATTACTTTGCGAAGCGTAGAAAGCCGCAGGCGGAAGCTAGTTAATAAATATTCAAAACAAAAAATTTCACTCACCTTCTCTTTCCCAATTTGCATCAGATACACAGGAGACTCCTTTAAAACAGCCACCATTATAATATACAGAACTGACATCGATAAATGCAAGTACACTATCAAACTATAGTCCAGGTATCCACCAAAAATATACGATATCAATACTCCCATGAAGTATGAAGAAACTACAGTAGACATTAAAGCTCCTCGGATGGAGTCTTGTGATATTTCTGATATGTAGATTGAAGATATTGTTTGTCCCGCTGTTCCTAAACCAGCTAAAGCCATGGCTAGAAGCAGCATTGGTATCGATGTTGATAACGAGATGATCGTCCACGAAAGCTGTGAAAGAAATAATAGCCAAGTAAATATTGTGGTAGAATTGGTAAGAAAGAACAGCTGTTTACTGCAATTATTATTAGCAATAGAAGATTTAATATGCCATATCAATTAAGTGGATAATGACTAGGCAAATTCAATCTGTTTAAGCACTGAATCTAAAATGAATACATCTATTTCTGATATGAAAACATCTTCAATGATGAACTATAGACCAGAATAGTAGACATATAAATAATGTCTTCGGAACTTCTGACTTCTCAAAAACATTTTAAGTGTGGGAGAGCCATGCTTCGGCACGAATGGGTCGACTCGACCGGAGTGATACCACGGCCTTACAGACCAGCGTGAAACAACCACAGCGTTGTGTTTCACCGTGTGAGTGAGGTTACCGGAGGCCCAATCCTTCCCCTCCCCCAATCCCTCCTCAATCCCTAAATCTCCAAATCCCTCTAATCCCTAAAAGGTCGGCAACGCACTCGTAACTCCTCCGTTGCGAGTTTCCATGGACGGCGCTCATTGCTTACCATCAGGTAATCCGTCTGCTCGTTTACCGACCTATTACATAAAAAAACAACGACAAATATCTTACCACAAAAGGCAATCCAAACAGCATAGCACTGTATTTCCTCCCAAGCTTGTTCACAATGTATCCAGAGAATGGTGTGGCGATCATGGCTCCAACATTGGTCAGACTGCCCAGCAGTGACACATCCACAGAAGACATAGGAGCTGAGAGCACAGTGTCATTGGACATGAAGTTGGCCACATTGTAGGAAGGCCAGGAGAAGACCAGACCGGTTAATGTGGTGAGGTACGAAACTGGAAAATAGAAAAATATTGTTAAAGCATCGCTTTGAATTTGGTAAGGAGCATCAATGTGTGTATTTTAAGAGGTTATAAACAAATTATTTGTCTTAAATTTCATTGAATTTTAGTGGCTAACTTTTTAAAAAGTAAATCCAATTTATCCTATAGGAAAAAATGAAAGCGCCTATCAAAAAATCAACGCAATTTTTTCTGTACGTATTGCTATGATATCTGCAACAGTGATTTAAAAGTAAAAACGTTGCAAGTACATACTGCTTCTTAATAAATTAAAAAAAACTTTTTTTTATTTATTTATTTAAACATGCACTTACTGGCTCACAGTGAGCACCAAAACGCCAGCAAGCCAATTAATTAAAATATAAAGCACATCAATTATTAAAACAAAAAAAAAATTAAAAACAATAACAATACAATACAAAATACAACATCAAGATCCAATAATAAAAATAATTTTCATTACTTGTTTCTCATTTACATCATAATAATAGCTTTTCAGCTTAAGATACGCTCATATTGTTCATATTACACATGTTTTTAACGCAAATGAAAATGCTTATAAATATCCCATCTATTTTCAATTTAAAAATCACGATGGAATCTTTTTCTTATGTGCCTCACATTGCAATATTTATTTTCATTTATAAAAATTCTGGACTCGTGAATATGTCTCTGTGTTCCCGTTAGATAATTAAAATAATTTTAAATTGAAAAACACATTTATTATAATTTATAATTAATTATGTTATTCCATGATATTTTTAAACTGTGCCCTACTGGGTCCATAATCAGTCTAATCCCTAAAAGAACTACCTGTCATTTGACATGTGGAATGCTAATAAAGATTGTCGAATTTGAATTTAGATGCGACGTTTAAAAGCATATTTTTCGTTAGACGAGGATGGTTGTAATGACAATATTACTCTCAACACGCACTTAACATTAGACAAATAAAATAAAATAGTTGAAGTACACTTGAAACAGATAATATCGATAGACGTAAAATTTTCCTGTAGCTAATCTCATTCTAAAGGGATTTCCCTTCTAGTATTTGTAAAATTTTACTTTTTACTACTACTTTGGAGTTTTATTCTGATTAGTCAGTTAGTTTCACTAGTCATGTCATTTTTTTTAGGAAAACTAGCATATGGGTGTATGATGGTAAGCAATCACCACTCTCCGTGGACCAGAGGAGCGAGGTTACATATTTGCTGCTTTTTGGAAAGACCGTGATATTGGCCACTCTGGTTTTCCAAAACTTTTAAACTTAGACTCTTCATTTACATATATAAGTACATAAAATGATTTTTTGGCGAAAGTGTAGTTCAGAATTCTAAGACCATTTGGTAGACCGTGACCAGGTTTCAACATCTTCGAGTTATTGCGAAAACCTAATAGTTTGGTTTTCTTTACTGATTCCTTTTAAAAGTCACAAACATCAGTCATAAATATTTCAATGATAAACTACCTAAATCAATAATTGTCGGGAAAAGCAAACAGAGCACACTTTATGGAACTTCAAATTCAGCTAAAACTCGTAATTTTCTTTTCTATGAGAACAACTCCATGGCGAAACACACATGCGTCTCCATATTAGTCACAAGCACATGTTTTCTTAGATAAATGAAATCCCAACGCCTCGTATCGTATGGGTTATAATCTTAGATACACTTTAAATTATTTGCGCACTTAATACTTATATTGGCTTTTCGTAATACTATTATCATTATAATTAGCCTGTTTTCATCATGTAACTCTGACGAAATTATGGTTGGGTAGTCCCCATGTAGGATTTTGGATAAGGTAGTAAATAAAAATTCCAAAATTGAAATCCCAGACAATAAGGCCGTGCCAGTAAAGAGGCTTGCAGTTTAATAGCAGAACAAGCTATGATATTTCAATTGGGTAAAAAGATCAAAAGCTTTTTTTTGGAACTCTAGATGAGTTCAAAAAAATGTATAGTCTGATCTCTTGAATTAAAGTTCTAGTAGGGGCTTTATTGTGATGTTTAAGCGACATTTCAGTGTTTGAATTTGCTTAAACTTATGCCAGGCCAAATCCATACTAATATTATAAAAGCGAAAGTAACTGTCTGCCTGTCAATCTTTTCTTAACGCCTAAACTACTGAACCGATTTCTGTGAAATTTGGTACAGGCGTAGTTTGGAACTCGAGAAAGGACATAGGATAGTTTTCATAGCAAAAATCTTTAGGAAGTCACTATTCCACGGGAACGGAGTCGCTGGCCAATGCTAGTTTTTTCATAAAAAGAAGTATCGTACAGTCCAGCTTCTACATTACGATACCAATGTTACGTCATTATGTCATAAAACTCATCAAGCAAAGCATAGAGCTATACAGATAAAAATCTGCTCTTCAAAAGTCATTGCACGTAGCCCATTGTGCCTATAGAAGAGAAATTACACTTTTTGCCCCTTGTAAAAGAGCTCATTATAATCTAGCAAACTTTGAGTCTGATCTATAAAGTATAAAGAATGTATACTTTATGTATTACTTCATTAACTTATTGACTGCTGAGTGATAATTGTTGATGGCATTTTCTTTCCTAGCGTGCCCAATATGGAGGTGTGCCCCATGGCGTTAAGGATGTTAGGATATAAATTACTTTATCTGCTTTATTATTGTCATGAAAACTGATTACACGAACTTATAATGTAATACCTGAAGAAAATGACAACTTTTAGTTTTTTTTTTATTTATTAACTGAATGTTAAGAAGGCCAACACCTAACACACAAAGGTATAACAAAAAGCTTTACAACATGAACCCCGGTTATATCTTCATGTAGAATTAACATACAAAGTATCACAGAATAGTTAGGATCTAACATTAACGAACAGTCAACAAACAAAATTTGTCTAGATTTAAACTATTTTCAAAATGATTAGGGTACCTTCAGTCGAACACATAAAATTTCTCATAAAGCTACAATGTAATTAACAAAATTGAACTATTTTTTAATTTAGCTTAATATAATAAATCAGTCGTTTACCAATTTGACTTTGATTTTTTAAAGCTTCAGAAGTTTAATTTAATTGAAAAATCCTATCACGATAATGTCTTCAAATAATATTTACATATCAAAAACTTAATCGCTACATTGAATAAATATTGTAAGTTGAAAAAAATAACACTGATTAAATACTAAACCAACAATAAAGTTTCGATTGACAAACCCAAAATAAAACATTATGAACTTACTTGCCAAAGTCGCCGTGCCTTGGACCAAAAATCCTCTAACAGTTACCCTGTCACCATCCATTTTGCACAATCACAGTTAATAAACTGGCTTCACTCAAGATATTACTGAATAATATAAAGAAGTTGGAGAAATCTTACACAAATACAATAACTCTTTATTGTACAGTAAATATAGGAGGGCTGTCGGCATACTTAGAGTCGGTTGATAAAAATATTATAATTGTTGTTACTTAAGTGCTAAGCGACACTGTTCGGCGTTATCTGGAAAGGTTTTTATCAAGAGTAAATGGATGTTCTATAGGTGCTGTATTTGTTGAGAGGGAATAAAAGGGTTTTGTTTGCGATCTAGATAACTGATGTGAATTGGAGTTATTTTTTCTCACTGGGATAATATATGAAGGTAGATTTGTTCAAATGTTAATATCTACTTTTAGTTTACGTCAATTTTAGTAACGTTCTATTTGAGCCAGATTTCATTAATCATTGGATTTTTAGAATCTCTCTTTCTTAATACATTTTAGGTGAAATTTAATTAATTTACCACAAAAATAATTTTGGTATTACTAACTAAGCACATCTTTTAACCACTTAAAATCAAGTCACAAACGGCTATTACTAAAAACGACTAATCTAGTTCTGCTTAATTATGATATCTGTTCCATAATCTGCTGACTAATGTCAGCATAATCCTATGACGTATGACGATTGTAAGGTTCATCGAGATTAACCACACAATCGTTATCGAAATAAACTACACAATCGTCACATTTTTCAATGATCCTTAGAGCCTTTAGGTTTTAGGCGTTTTTGATATGGTAATTTGTAGATAGTGATAAGTTCAAAAGAGTTCGTAATACCAGACTTGACTAACGACTTAGATTCTATATCTAAATTAACATTGTTTCCTATTTCACTAATACTGCTTAATCACTTATTAACAATTTCAAAAAACTCGTACTTCAAAGACTTATTAAAGCACTAATTTTGCGAACCACTGCCAATGAATTGTCACTAGAAAAACACTTAAATTGAAACAAATATACATACGTACATTCCCAATAAAATCAGTTCTACACCATTTAGTTTTATCATGGTCATGATCAACCAATGGTTTCCCTATGACGCAAATAATGAATCCAGTCGTAGAAGCCATACCGTGTTATATCATTATTTCGGACCTACCGCACTGTAGCATAGCAATATCTATTTCTTCCAGGTTCTTTGTATAGCTTTTGATATGTCTAAGTATGAAATTTCCATCATTTTTCAATAAAGATCGTTATACTTCTTTATTTAGAAACACTACACAACACAATACAAAATGACTTTAAAGTACTCATATGTATTTCAAGGAAGAATATATTTTATCTCACGAACCCAAAAGAAATCTATGACTACGTAGCACTCAAGGAGCTTATCTTGGCCCTAAAATTTCATTTATCTCCATGTAAATCCACTTACTTAAATTAATAGTACATTAACACCAATGAAACTTAACTTTTTACCCATTCGGGAAATAGGAGGATTCAGAAAGAAAAGATTTTCTTTACACGCTAAATATGCATCTAGTTATCTTCAATTAGGTTTAAGTGTGCAAGAGCTATGGTTTGGCACTAATGGTCGACCGATGTGATACCACCGTTCCACAGAATACCAGCGTGCTTGTTGCACGCTGGTATTACTACTTACTACTACTTGTGTGGAGTTCTACCATGTGAGTAAGATTACCGGAGGCCCAATCTTTTCTTAGTCCACTATACAGAAATCCCTAATAGCCCTTAAAAGGCTGGCAGCGAACCTGTAACTCCTTTGATGTTGCGAGTTTCATCAAATAAACTTTTTGCTTGTTTGTTGGCGCCGACATATTTCATAAAAAAAGTTATTTTATGAATTGAGTGCGAAGTTATTTCAATTCTTATACAAGTACTATAATAACTTTAAAGTTTTTCAAAATACATTACAGAAAAAAATCATAACCATTCATCAACATTTAACTTATTCTAAGGAAATAACAGACCACTCTACCCTACCAGATTACTTTACGATATCAAAATAACGCGCTCATACTCGTAAATCTATGATAAAGCATTCTATTTGCAGACTCACAGCAACTTAGATAGAATAACAATTACGTTTACTTTAACGTTCTGTCAGTGAACTTGCTATTTTAAGTTCGTTTTATCTTTAATGCGAATACACTTTCCATACTTTGTCTATCGGTTCACTTTTGTGAGGTTTAAGTAAGCAGGTAGTTTGTAGACTAAAGTATGAACCCTTTTTTTACTGTGGAAAACCATGTAATGAGTTCTCCCCACTCTAAGTGGAGCGAAATGGAGTGGCAAACTCTTACTGCCTCAAGGGACGATCTCCGGTCAAAAGTCAAAAAAGTCAAAAATCATTTTTTCAATTAGACCGCAGTAGGCAGTTTTGAACGTCAAGCAAGCAAAAAAGGAAAAAAGTATATAACAAGAGCTTTAAAATTAAGCGTGTCAGTCTGTCCATCTGTCCTCTAGTGAAGCTATTTGCTCGTTCCAAAGTGTAGATTCCTATGGAGAAGAACGAGCAAGAAACTCCATGGTTACTCTTTTTCAATCAGGAAGCACGCCGCAAGCACGGGTCTGCGGACGGTGAGTAAGAAAGGCAAGTCGCCGCCCGAACAGACGGCGCGTAGCGTTCCGCGCGCCTCAAAGTTCCAATAGACCACCACAGACCCTATAGAGCTGATGTTCAGCCGGGGTCAGCGCGATGAGGCACCGCGACCTCGGCCCAGAGCAGGAGAAGGAACAGGGGGTTTTTAGTCAGTAAGAGTCTGACACTTCCTCCCGCCCTGCCCTGGGCGGGAGGGAGTGTCAGACTCCTCCCTCGCCCCTCACAAAAAAAAAACTCTTACTGCCTATAAAAACTCCATTCTTTTTCCTACTATTAGCTTGTCGCGGTGCATAAAAGAAATAATGCTAAATGCACCCATTTAGATCTTAAAAATGTATAATTTGGCTAAGGCTTATGTGTTATGTATTAACAATTTTTATTTTTATTTAAAACAGCAATTTTTTTGATTCTAAAAAATAAAATGCATCTGAATGAGACTGGACACTAGTCTACTACTGTTTTATTACAGTGTATACAGTTATACAACAGAATTTACTTATAAATTTTGTCCAGGGGATTTCAAATCATTTCATTATTTTCTTAATATTATCAAAACGACAGGATTATCTAATAAAATGTTAAAGCAAACCTTAGTTTGATTGTCAGATTAAAATAATGTTACTTTGAGCTAACGAATGACTCACTGATTGCGATTCTCTAATAAAAATGATAATTTAACTAAACACCTTCACAAGTGTTAGTAGTTAGTTGAAACACAAAAATGGTGTTTTTTTTATAGTTCGAAGCATTTTCATATATATAAATATAATATTGTTTAACAATTTAATCAATCAAAACCAATATAAAAACTGCCTTGATAACATTTAAATCTCGCCCTTACAACAATATAAATACGAACTGGAATAGGTATGTTCCAAACAATTATGAAACAAAAAAACACAACCGTAATAAATAATAATTTTATTTCACATAAAAATAATATCACACAACCAAAGAACGACCAACAAAATGTGAACCAAACATTGGTTCCAACATAAGTCTAAAGCACTCTCACTTCTTAATACTCTTTATACTCTGCCTTCTTCCTTTTAAGAAGAGAAGTTGAATGGCATCAGCTGACAGTCCCTTAGTCTCCGGAATACAGAACTGGCTGTAGATGGTACCAGTAAAACAGACTACAGAGAAGAAATAGAATACTGGCCCCAAACCTATAGCTTCGACTAAAGGATGGAAGATGACCAAAGTGAGAAAGTTGAAAACCCATGTGAACGCCATCACGACGCTGTTACAGAAACTTCTGACCTGGAATGTGGAAAGAACAGGTTGATTTATTATGATTATGAATGACTAAATTAACAATCCTAATGTCTTAAGTTTTCTTGGTGAAAATGAATCCCAATTTCCCGTGGGTAAAGGTGATAATCTTGTAAAAGTATAGGAAAAAAATCAGGAAATAGAATGAATGTCGTGACGGTTCGCTTACTACTTAAGGTAGTTAATGTATAGGAAAATAATTCTTCGATGCTAATAATGCGATTGCTAACACAAACCCATATCAGCAGCCATCAGAACCACTATTTTATCCAAGGTTAAGCAAATTATTATAAATCTATTTACTGAAAATAATGACGTCAATACTTAAACAAATGAAGTAAAAAAGCCTTTTTAGTTTCAAGTCTAATGGGACTCTTGTATACCATTCGTTATTGACAATGAATTCAGTATGACTCACAATGGTTACTATTCAACAATGTTTGTAGTATTCTATTAAGTCTATAGCAACAATTACTGGGAAAACTTTAGCATTACAAAAAATATTTTTTAAGCTTTATAAAAAAAAGTTGCCTAAGTATACAAGTACATACAAATATACACACCTCTGGCAAGAACACTTCAGCAGTCAACACAAAAGGTATAACAGCACATCCCAATGTGAAGATGAAGCTGAACCCGTATATAAGAAGGACGGTGAACCAGGCTGGAGCCCAGTGGAACTGCAGCTGTGCTCCGAGCAGCACCGTGCAGATACCGGAACCAGCTGATGTCAGGATCAAGAGGAACTGAAATCAGAAGAACAAATATAAGTTAAACAATATTTTACAATGCTACATAATGCTTTGCAGTTGCAGTTGTCGCAGGCAAAACAAATATGATAAGAAATATGCTTGAAATATATTCAATGATGGATTCAGTAAAATCAACCTTGCCAATTAACATTGGAACAGCTAGGGAACAAGACATGCTGAACCTTTTAAACGCTTATGTTACAAAAGACTAGTTTTGGTGTCCAAAACACCCAACAACTTTCTTAAACTTAAGGATTGAACGCGTCAAGCAATAACGGAATTTGGATTCATAATTTCTCTGAACGTAGGTTGGGTAAGCATAAATCAAGCCAACGGCTAAGAGCTATAGGGAGTTAAAAAGCCTTTGTCAAGCAGGTCAATTAGTTTTGGACTAAAATTTAAACACTTTCGTGTCAATTTTATAGAGTTAAATTATTCTAATCGTGTATACAACATTTAAGTTCTATCGGTTTTAAATATCAGCTCCAAATTTTAGTAGCAAGATTCTACTTTACAAGTATGTACACACTTGCTTTTGCCCGCGACTCCGTTCGCGTGAAATAGTGAGTTCCTGTAGATTTTTGGTATAAAAACTATATCCTATGTCCTTTCTCGAGTTTCAAATTTCACAGAAATCGGTTCAGTAGTTTGGTCGTGAAAAATAGACAGGCAGACAGAGTTACTTTCGCATTTATAATATTAAGTTTGGATTTAAATATAAATGAAAACTAAATTAGTTCCTTACCTTCCTGCCAAACCTATCGATAGCCAATACACAGAGAACACTAGCTATTAAGAAATCTAATGCTAAGAAGATGGCGCATTGGTTGGATGGCATCGTTGGAGCAGCTTCCTTGAACAACGGCTCGGCATACACTTGGAGGACCACACAACCCATCATGATCGTTAATGCCATTATTATAAGTACCATCATCAGAGCACGCTTCGATGATTTCGATTTTTCTGCGAAAGAACAAAAATTTTGTTGTAAAAACTTTAGAATCCTGTAAGGCGATGCTGAGGGTTTTGATTTTTTGTTTTGTTGTTGTGTGAGTAGGTATACCCTTTTTTACTATTATGTACTGTAATTTAGTTGGACAGATTACATTATTCAGTAACATCAGTGAGAGAGTCAGATGAAAAATTAAGCATGATTCTATAAAATACTCTAAAATATATTTGTTGGTCTTCAGTTGCAATTTACATCTACAAACTTGACCAAAGGGCATTTACGAATTTTCTAAGCTTTTCATATTCTTAAATTCTCGAAAAACTTAAAATCTACAACAGAGTATATCCACAGCAACTTACTGAAATGTTTCCATGCGGACTCGCTCTTTCTCTCTTCTGGAGCACCTAATTTCTTTTCCACCAGTTCCCCTAGTGTTTCTGGATCTGAAAGAAGAAAAATTGTTTTCATTATATATTACATTTTGATTTGAGATAGATATATGATTAATTTATTTTAACATTTTAAGTGTGGGAGAGCCATGCTTCGGCACGAACCGGTCGGTAGGGTAAGAACGGGTCGGCTCAATCGGAGTGATACCACGGCCTCACAGAAAACCGGCGTGAAATAACCAAAGAGTTGTGTTTCACAGTGTGGGTGAGGTTACCGGAGGCCCAATCCTTCCCCTACCTCAAACCAAAATCTCCAAATCCCTAATCTCCAAAAGGTCGACGGCGCACTCATGACTCCTCCGTCGTTGGTGTTTACCATCAGGTAATCCGGTTGCTCGTTTGCCGACCTATCACAAAAAACAACATCCCTTTCTTGGGCATTTTAGATTGACGTGTCATTTTCGTAAATTGTGCCACTAATTGTCAGTTTATTCTCGAAAAACGAAGCCTGCTTACGCATTGCATTTGCAATGCAATCCATAAATTATAATAATAATGCTACAAATATTAATTTTGCTTCTCAGTAAAATGAAGCGAATAAAAACACCTGTACAAATACAATTTACTTAACTTAAAAAAACAACTCTAATAAGTAACAAATAAATTAGTTTTAATGCTAGTAGGTAAGTTGAAATTTTATAATTACAGGTTTTCCCTGCGTCAATTTGCGAGGTGGCCATAACGATATAAATGTATTACATTATCTTAATTAAGAAAACAATTGTAAAGTTATCTTAGACGTATTACGTAGGTGCGTGGTTACACTAAGCCTGTAATTATCGTTCTACAAAACTGTTTGCGTGAAAACTGAGCAAGCAATCTTGAGCTTAATTCTTGAGATGAGAAAAAACAAAATTCGGAACAGCATCAAATCTGGAATTATTTCCAATATGAAGGCGTTGTATGAGTCATGTTTTAGAGTTAAGGGTCGAAGTAGCCTAGAATGAGTCCGGAAACAACCGAATTTTTTATAACATCATGCTGCTAATGGTGATGATGGAGTCATATTCGAGAGTTAACTCTCGAATATGACTCCATCATGGATCGAGGTGGCGCAGAGGTTGAACACCAATATGATTCTTTCCGAAATATGTTTTTGAAATATGTTTTTTACTTTCTGAATTTACTTAGGCACTACTAATAAAACAGTGAAGGGAAACATTGTTAGGAAACACAGGACTATAATATTTAACACCTAATTATAAGCTTGAAATAGCCAATCTGCCTTGAAAAAGCATGGGTAATGCTTAAACCTTTTCCACGTGCGAAGTGACCAATGCTGAACAATGGACACCTTTAGGCTAATAATGATGAGGTTGAGTTAGATATGAATGTGCATATAATAAACAACACATTGCGACAGATAATTGTATATCTAACTTTGAGAGACCAGCTAAAAAACTCGGCATTCAAGATTTGATTTTTTAAAATGAATAGCAAATCTAACTCAACAGTATCCTTTTAATTTAAGGTTCAGTGTCGCTTGAGATTCTCCTCTAAATTGATTTGGATTTTTGTTACTCATGAAAAAAACATTACGTCAATGAATAATTATTATCTGTAAAAGTATTATGTTAATAAGTTTTTAAATTAAGCTCTTATAAAAATTATATGAATCGTTTCTCACAACAACTATCATAAGCCTAAACAAATAATTTGTGACATCTTGAAAAGAAAACCGCTATCGCTACACAAAATAACTGGTTATCACAGACGATTTTAATCCTTAAGTTTCAATCCTTATACTAACATCATATATGCGAAATTTTGTAAGTATGGGTGGATGGGTGGATGGATGATTGAATGGGTGGGTGTTTGTTACTGTTTCACTTAAAAAAAAAACACAATATCACAGTGAATGTGGATGATACATGCAACGGCACGAATGGGTCGACTCTACCAGAATGATACCACGGACTCGCAAAAAACCGGGGTGAACTGCCTACAGCGTTGTGTTTGTAAGTGAGGTTACCAGATCCCTCATTCTCTTCCCCCCGTAACCCCTAAACCTCCGAAACGCTAACTCCTAAAAGAGCCAGCCAGAGACTCTGGTGTTGTGGGTGTCCATGGGCGGCGCCGAATGCTTACCATCAGGTCTGCTCAAAAACTCACGATTCAACTTTAATAAGATACTTAATTAAATGATTCTATTTGCGGTGAAGTGGATGTGTTCGGCGATAAGCTATACACATTCAAAAAAGTTGTTTTAGAGTTGTTACGATTAAAACAAGATCGTTAAATTGAACTGAATTTCTTCTTTGTTCTCATTTTATTTCTTGTTTTGTTATTATTATTTCTTTGTTTTTATTATTTTTATTTTTTTTTAAATTACTGAATGGGTATTATAAAACCAGTGTTACCTTATGATGCATGCTGTGACATCTTAAAATGTTGTGCATTAATGTATTATTTTAAAATAATATTAAGTTAAGTTAAGTATTAATGTAACAACTACTGATTGTCCAAATAAATAAATGCCATTCAGAATAAGCCAGATAAGCAACTATTAAAATATAATCAGATTTTTTGTAGAAAAGGTCACCTGTGGGTGTTCAAACGATGTTGTATTGTCATAATTGTGGTAGTGTGCAAACAAGATGAAGTAACATAAGACAGCTCTATCTCATTTCCACACTGTTACAATTATGACACGTGGAGCTCCATTATAAAACCATAAAAGCTGTTGTTAGTTTTAATATTCTTTGTCGGGGTTTATGTTCCCCGAAGGAATAACCTGGGTATCGTCAAGGCACGAGTAAATAAGTTGCTTATGGAATTGACGTGCTCCATCGTAGTTCCACGGGCGAGAAAGCAGTCAAACGCCGAGTCATTGTAAAAAATATGTAGACCTTGTAGTGCAGTATACAGTGTATAAGTCATTAAATCCGGAAATATACAAAAAAAATATGGAATAAGCAAACGAGCAGGCGAATCATCTATGGTAAATGATCAGTGCCACGCATGGATACCTGCAATACTAGAAGAGCCACAGCGTATTGCCGGCCTTTTAATAGAGAGTTTTGATTCATATAAAACCTTTTTTAAACCATTTGTTCTCCAGGTACAGGTGGCGTAGTAAATGCTGCACTTATCGCTGATTATTGTTTTGAGTACCGTTCAAATGAGCAAATAGCGACATCTATCGCACAACACAAAAACAAGAATAACAGTAAGTTTAATCAACTAACCAACAGATGGCGCGATTAACAAAATTTGACATCGCTAGACAAGCATACTTTGCACGCAATATAGGTACAAAGATACAAAATACATCTACCACCCAACGTGTGAGCAGCAAAGTAGATCCTTTTTACGAATTGGGGAACATCACACCCTGTATTGTAAATCTTACACTGAACTACCGAGACCACACATTCGAGACCCACGCATGTCATTAATTTTTATTAAAACTTCTTCAGCTCACACATTCAATGAAGAAGGGAAATGTATAACTACTAACCATTGTCTCCCTCTAGCAAGGTTTCAAGTCTTGGGTCAATCTGTAGTCTGATCTTAGCGATCTCAGCTTCAACCTCTTTGGACTTTGCATCCAGTTGTCGATAGAATGCTATTGATTTAGCTGCATCCTAAAATAAATTACAAACATTAAATTATAGTTTCACATATAGTTTATATATAATAATTGTATATTAAATTTGGATGGACTGTGTGAGAAATGATATGGAAGACAGAGGAGTCAGTGATAGCGTGATGAGTGACAGGACAGAATGGAAGAAAAAAACATATTGCGCCGACCCCAAATAAAACGGGACAACGGCAGGAAGATGATAATATAGTTTAGCTTCAGAGATTATTATCTACTACTCAAGAATGGAAAACATTGGCATTTTTTGAAATTATTTACTATTATGGTGATTTTTTGAGAAAGGGTGATTGGAAAAGTGCTTTCAGGCGTGACTGCCAAATCATATTTAATTAAGAAAACACTCCTCACTTTTCTTTTATGCATAAACTGCGAACATAAAGTCCACTTTACTTAAAGCAATAATAAATAAAAAAATCAATATGATTATGTGTGCTTATTTGCACATAAGGCACTGCACAAAATTATGACATACTGGGAAACAATATTCCGTTCATAAAGTTTTTAAGAATAAATTCTGTTTTGGTTTTCACTGGCAGTAAGACCTGACGCTATCTAGTTAGAGTTGCCATCTCACGGGGAACATCTCAAAAAACTTATAGTAGAAACTCAGTTGACTATCAAAAAAAAAGGAAAAAAGGGTTCTATACAATCCCAATTTGCTCTCATGTTGCTATTTAATTTTATTTAAATACCGGGTAAAAGTGAAATGCTGGCTGCTGGGGTTGTGGGGCAAACGAAATAAAGCCCAGCGGCCTCGGCTTAGAGCAGGAGAAGAAACGGGGTGAGGAGGGGAGGGTTAGTCAGTAAGAGTATGGCACCTCCTTGACCCACTAACCACTCTTAGAGAAATCATTTGATGAGTATCCCCTCACAAAAAAAATAAAACGCAAAAGGTAATTTACATACCTCTTCTCTCCCGACAAGTACTAGGAACACAGGAGATTCAGGAAGTAACAAAAGTAATAACACACAGAGTATGGAGAGCCCCAAGTGTGTATATATAACTTCCATGTAACCCAAGTTGCCGCCCAGCGCGTACGTTACTAGTATACCTGGAAAGACAAAGAATTAAGAACTTTAGGATACTGATGTTAAGACAAAAAATAAGCAAAGGGAAGGAATGATCTTGGTTTTCCATTTGTTTTGATTTTGATCGTGGTATTTCGAGACACAATCGATTATTCATCATCATCATCATCATCATCAGCCTGATGCTGGACATAGGCCTTCCCAATTGCACACCACTGAGTTCGATATCATTTAACTTATTTTTTATTTTATTGTGTTTTTTAATGTTGTAATTTTTTTGTTCCTGGCTTTCATGTCCATTTCCGTATGAACGCATTTTTTTCTTCTTTCTTTCAATAGAAGAACAATAGTCGCGCGAACGAGTTCGCTTGGGGTTTAAATTAATGGGGGGTTAAATTAATTATTTTGTAGGAAAACTGTTTTTTACTGTACGCGTTTAAGTGGCGCCCTGGATGTTCTAGACTCACAATAAATCAGCCCGGCAGATGGCGCTGATTGCTTGAAAATGCATGTGATCTAAACGGAAACGGGGTCCGCTAGTGTATGGATAAAAATAAATCAATCTTACCTAAAAAGTACCCTGAAGCAGAGCTAGCAGTTAGGCCTCCACGTATGGAGTCGTGTGCTATCTCCGAAATGTAGATGATGGCCACGTTCTGCCCCGCTATGCCGATGCCACCAATGCACATTGAAGCCAAGACTAGAGGAACACTCGACGTCACTGATATTATTAGCCATGTCAACTGGAATCATAAAAACATGGGTTTTAGTTTTACAATGTCACGTTGTATTTGAACCTAATTTTTGGTACAACCATCTAGCTTTAGTGACAATTTCAAAAGTGTATGGTTTACTTGGAGTAAATAAATATCTTTTCATTTTGACTTAAAACTTTTAACGGGTCATTTTTCTTTTTCTTTTTTTATCTGAGGGAATCATATAACGAAGAAATTTTCGTCAGTTATGGTTTTCTTTGCTTGATATTGTTACGTGCCTGACGTCACGTTCCTGACTATGCGGGCTTGGGTTACGGGATTGGATGAAATGAAAAACTAATACCGGTTTTCAGACTTTCTATTGCACTTAAGTTACAGCGTCCACGGAGTTAAGTTATCGGCGTTCCTCTCCAGCAGAGTCCGGCCGACTGACACAACTTTGCCGTTCACGCTGACTTAACTCACTTAACTGACTGCACTTCACTATTTCACTGCACTTCACTATTTCACTCACTTTTCTTCTTTCTCACTTCTTCCTTTTCTTCCGAATCGCTTTAGACTTAGAACTCAACTGCCAGCGGTGAGCCGCAGTTCCGCTTATATACCCCCGGTCAGGTTCTGGAACATTCAATTTCGTTATTCTTTTTGATCGTCATGCCTCCAGAACCTTCCAATAATTTCGTTATTCATTTTTATTTATTCTCCTTCTCGCTCTTTAATTTTTCATTTCTTTCACACAAATAATTCCAGAAAATTCGACAAAACTTCTATAAACTAAAAAACTTCATGTTTACGGCGGGACTCAAACTCGGGGTCTCTGTGGTGTAATCCACACGCCTTACCGATTACACCAACTCGTGTTGACAATTCACGACGAAATTTACAATCTCTAGGCAACGTTTGACAACCATCCATTGACGTCATGATGTCAAAGAGTTTGAACCACTTTTCCGTCACACTGCCCCCCTCTTAGATTCGCTCGTCCCGAGCATCGTTGCTGCCGTAATACCTCGCCAACCTGTCTATATGGACAACTTTCAAAGGGCTCCTTGAAGTCTTCCGAATTCTGTAAGTAATGTCATTGATCTTCGTGACTATCTCATAAGGACCTTCCCAACTCGGTTGAAGCTTCGGAGATTTTCCCTTCCTTCTGACTGGATTATGAAGCCAGACCAATGACCCCTCTTGAAACCCAACAGAATTGGCTCGTCGATCATAGCGCGTCTTTGCGCGATCACTAGCTTGAAGACCGGCCTCCCTGATCTGCTCATAAATGTCCAACATTTTTGCCCTTAACTCGTTTATGTAATCGCTAAACTCGGTGCGAGTGTCGCCAGGTGGACAGCCCGATACAAGATCTGCCGGTAATCTCAATTCCCTTCCAAAATTTGCAAATGCAGGCGTCTTTGCGGTACTTTCATGTACAGCAGTCCGATAGGCAAGCAAGAAGAGAGGTATGTAAGTGTCCCAATCTCTCTGATGGCTGTCAACCACCTTTGCTAAGTGTCGCTCCAATGTTTGGTTGAAGCGTTCGACCATTCCATCTGACTGTGGATGATAAGGGGTCGTGCGAGTCTTATGGATTCCCAAAAGTTTAGGGTCATTCCGTGGTTTTGTGCAAAAAGCAATTCCAGACGAATTTACCCATGAATTTATTAGAAAAATTGTACTGCTTTTTGCTTAGAGAATAAAGACATAATAACTTTAAAAGTAGTATCGCAAATATTACATTTTTTTTATTAAATATTAAAAAGAATATATCTAAAACTGTCTTAAAAATCATTCCTCTCCGTTTCCAAATTGGCACTTCGCTAGGTCTTTCGATGTTTATTTTTCTGCATTTGTGATTATGACTATAACTAATACGCAATATTAGAGCTAAAGGCCTAAACTACAATTTATGTATTTTTATTTTAAATTTATTGTAATCTATTTATGTAAAAAGCTTCTTTTACGAATTGTCACAAAAAAAAATTCATTACCATCCGTGCACAGAAACTTCTTGATTTAAGAGAATACGAAACGGTCTCCGATACGATACCCGTCAAAACGGGTTTATACTTGTCAGTCGGCCCTGGTAACAGAGACGAGTGGACGTGCGCGTATTGTGGATAAAATTATTAACGATCTTCGAAGTGAAACCAGTGTTTCGTCTATAAATTAGCTCATCACCTTCCTTCGATTTTATAAGGTACCGTAATAAGTATATTATTGTAAATACGTAACATGTCTATCAAATAAAGCCATATTCGTCCTGTTTTAAAATCAAATTTTAAATGTATTCTACAACGAAGTTATCAATATGAATTGTTAATTTTTTCATTCATCTCCTTTGCATTACCTTCCGTTCCGTCCATTTTTTTGGGGGAAGGTAATGAACAGTTTTGGAAGGAAATGAAAAATTCTTATTTTTATTTAAAAATAATTGTGTTCCAGTATGTATAGTGTCTGTGTGTATTATCTATATGAGACATGTTTTTTCTTATAATTTATTAAGTATAAATTTTATAAATTTCAGCATAACTATGGGTAAAACTCGTAAAAAGTTGACAAGAGAAGAAAAACTAGCTAAAGATCGGATACGCAAACGAGAAAAATATGCTCAAATAAAAAACAATCCTGAGTTGTATTCCCTACAGAAAGAAAAAGAAAGAAACAGGTACTTAGTGAGAAAAGAGAAGAATAAGATCTGTAGCATTAAAGACATGACTCCTAGAGCACAAAGGGAACAACGAAAGCGTTGGCGGAAAAATTCCCAAAACTATCTAAAAAAGATGGAAAAAGCAAAGACATTAGAGAGAATATTGGTGGAAAACTCACCACCTCAGAGTGAGTCAAATTTTTGTGTTAATGCGGAGCCCCAAATACCAGATCCTTTGACGGTAGCTGAACCAGGACCAAGTACAATCAAGCATAGTAAATCTACACAATTAGCTAAGTTTAATAATATTTTAAGACGTATACGTTATAATCATATGAAGACAGTAAAGATATTGAACGGTAGGATTAAAAAACTAGAAAGAGAAAAAGATGTATTACGTAAAAGAAGTAATATAACTCAAAAAGTCTGCGATACAATAGAAAAAAAGGTAGATGAAGTATTGACAGAAATTCGACCAGATAAGAAGGAAGCAGTAAAAAAACAACTGCTTTTCAGTGAAACTATATCCCAAAATTTGCAAAATACCTATAAAACAATGACTAAAAAAGACAAGAGAAATTTTGTAGACACGGTTATTAAAGATGATACAAAATTAAGAAAATACAAGTTACTTCATAAATTGCCATTTTCCCGAAGAAAGAAGAAAACAGCTACTGTGGATAATAAACAAATATTGTTAAATAAAATCCACTCCTTCTTTGAAGAAGATACAAACAGTAGAGTTGCAGCGGGGAAAAAAGAATTTATAAAAAAGCATGGAGTGAAGAAACAGAAGCGTTACCTGAATGATAATTTAAAGAACTTGCATGAAAAATTTTTAAAGGAGCGATGTAGTGTAAGCTATTCTTCCTTTTGTAAGTATAGACCCTATTGGGTAGTCTTTCCTAAAGTAGACCGAGACACTTGTCAATGCAAATTACATTCTAATGTTAATCTTTTAGTTAAAGCTCTTAAAACTGCCCAAATTATTTCTGAAAGTTCAGGAACTCATGTTATAAATAGTCTCTGTTGTGATGTAAAGCAAAAATGTCTCGAACGTTCATGTAAATTCTGCGCAAATAAAGTTTTGAACTATCACGAATTTAAAAATAATAAAAAAATTATATTTCATCAGTGGGTTGTAGAGAAAAAACCGTATACAGGAAAAGATGGAAAACAAAAGATTAAAATAGTGTCTATAAAACAAAGGTTTGAAGACTATCCGCGAAACGTTATTTACAAATTAGAGTCGTCGTTAGATACATTTCTTAAGCACAATTTAAACATAACAGTACAGTATCAAGTTATCAAGCAACTAAAACAAAATTTGAGAGACCATGAGATACTAGTGCACGTAGATTTTAGTGAGAATTATTGTTTAAAATATAATGAGGAGATACAATCTTTCCACTTTGGAGGAAGTAGAGAACAAGTTTCTTTACACACCGGAGTTCTTTATTACAAGGATAGTGACGCAGGTGTATTTCGGACCAAACCGTTTTGCACAATTAGTGATTGCTTAAAACATGACGCTAAAGCCATATGGGCACACTTATGCCCCATTTTAAAGATGGCGCAAACTGCAGTGCCTTATGAAATAGTACATTTTTTATCTGATTCACCATCCAGCCAATATAGGAATAAAACTATATTCTATATGATAACTAAATTAGAAGATATTAACCCAAATATACGTCGAGTGACATGGAATTATCAAGAGTCCGGTCACGGAAAAGGGGCCCCAGATGGTATAGGAGCAGTGGTTAAACGCACTGCTGATAATTTTGTCAAATATGGTGGAGATGTTGATACTTATGAAGACTTCTGGGCTTTAGTTACTAAAAATATACCAAACGTATACTTTGATATGATAACTGAACGCGATATTGAAGATAAAATAATTCCGCCTAATATACCAGGCTTTAAAGGAACAATGAAAGTTCATCAAATAATATGGACTGCTGATAATAAAAAAACTATAACTTTGCGCAGTCTTAGTTGTTTTGAATGTCAAGATTGTTTTATCCCTTGCCAACACAATAAACATTTAGGTTATCTCAATTCAGATTACTACGGTGAAACAGAATGTGGTCAATCTCGTGATCAGTGTAGTGAAAACGAAGTCACTTGTTTCAAAGACAACCAATCCATATGTAGCATAGATACGTCTACAATTTTAAATAATTTAAATTTAGATGAATCAGACGTTTTAAAAAATTTTAAATCATTAGAGGGTCCTATCGATTTACAGCTCTCACCTATACCTAATACATCTACGTCTTCAACTGTAACCAGATCTCCTAAAATTAAGATTTTATCTGATGTCCGTATAAGTTGGGAAAACCGCAAATTTTATAAGATGGCAAAGAAAAATCTTGCCCCTAAA